TTCTTTTTATAAATCTTTGTAACAAATTGAAAAAAAAAAATCTTTGTATTCAAATTTAATTTCAGAATGACATAAATATTCATTTTAAATGCACTACAAAGCAGATAGCGCAGATCCATTCATCCCTTGGGAGTAATGAGTGGACATGCATCCAGTTAAAGAATAATTAATGGGTTCAGTGTAGGAAGGCTAGCTGTCTCAATCATTTCTGATCTCTGATCAAGCTCTTAAGTGTATCCTTTGGGAATTAGACAGAAGAACTGCTGGTCAGTTTATAGCATATGTCATTTGATGGCCAGTTTTTTATTTTAAAATTAATTTGGTATAGATTAAGTTAAGACTAAATTGATATTGTTTAATGGATATTTTTATTTTATTTTTTAAAAACATTGACAAACAAATATCAGAGCATCATGTCTCACAAATATGAAAGATTGTGTGTGTGTCACTGTCACTGTGTGTGTGTGTGTGGGGGGGGGGGGGCTGCAGATGGGTATTTGTCAAGCTCTAACACAACCAGTTGAGGATCGATAATGTTTAATATTTGTTATAATTCATGCCTACACCATAGCAAATGTATAAACAAATATTATAAGGAATGGAAAAATCTTGGAAATCCTTGTATCAAGGTTGACTTGATTTTCTTGCACTCTGAACTGTTTGTGATAATTGAACAATATTTGACGGGCGTATCATGCTGTATCATGCTGTGGCGGGGCACTTTATTGTCAAAATGAATGGTTCACGATATACTTATTGTATACCAAAATATTAGTTATGCAAATCCAAGTCAGAATAGTTTGGTTTTTATTGTTTGAACTTAATATTTTTGTAAAAATCACGGTCATTAAAGGTCGCTGATAGTGAGCACGGACCAGGGTTAAAATGCCATAAACTTTTAAATAAAGTGTTCTGATTAAAATGATTATTTTCTTTATAAAACAAGTCAAAGCTTAATAAAAAATTAAATGTGTCACAAATAAAGCGGCTGTCGTCATTTTCTGATATGTTTAGTATCACTTACTAAATAGACAGTGAGAATATTAAGCGAAAACCACAAAAAGTATGTTTCAAACATTTACCGAAAAAGCAACGTCAGCCATCCAAACGGGACAGCGTCCAATCATACAATTATGTTTAAATATGGTTGAAACGAAATCAGACACAAAATATTTATTCAAACGACTTGAAATTATTGGAATATATTTAGTTCATTGATTTGTAATTGGGGTATACGATTTTTCAACGGTGTGTTAAATTTCGGAGACACTGTAAGAAGTGGAAAATCACTGTTATTTGATGAAAAATAGGATATCCCTATTCATTACGTTGTTATAAATCTAGCGCCATCGGACTGGGCTATGCAGCCTGTGTATACGAAGTGTTCATATTGATGACGCTCTTAAATTATTGTGTATTATTTTGAATTTTAAAAAGTAAATCAATTATGGTCTATACATAAATAATATTGGACACACTTGGCAGTTTGGCATAATACAGAAAATTAACGTGTGTCCTTGAACATGTGATAAAAATTCAAAATCCATATTCTTGGCGTTATCGTGAAATTAGCGTTACATCAGACTGGGCCATGCGGCTTGCATATACAAAGTATTTACACCTATAATGCTCATAAAACAGTGTGTATTGTTTTAATTTTTTATATAATTACTAAGTCATGGACTGTTTTAAAATATTATTGTACATGTTTGCCTTTGTGGACTTTATTAAGAAAATTAAGCATTTGTCCACGAACTTTTTGGACAACCCTCGTAATACTGGAAGTAACTGTAAATCAACAATTGTTCACAACAACATTTATTCTCTGTTTATCAGTTTAATATCTCTCTTTGAGGACTAAATTTGGTGCCTGAGGAATTTTGTTTACTTAATTACACAATAATAATTAAAAAAAGCAAATATTTTGCTGCAAGAAATATTTGCAAATATATACATTTGTGTATCTATTAAATTAACATACAGAGAGCAAATATCTTCATACCTGTATGAAGTTTTTTGAAGGTCATAGGTCATTACATGACCTAATCACACAGCGCAGATAAATATCTACATAAAAAGACTTACTCTACTTAGTAATATAGCATACTTTTCTTGTATAAAAATGTACAAAATATGCAAGTAAAATAATGTTCATTTTATTTACAATGTAAACAAGTATTTAATACAGTTCTTGATTGATTTTACATAGAGAATAGAAAATTAAGTGTTATAAGTTTCATGTCTGAGATCCCTTTGTTTAATAGTTACAAAATTAATTAAATACAAATCATCGTCAAATTTTGAGTCTAATCACTAAAACTGAAAACAAAACTTTTTCTTAAGAACAACTGTGTTAATAATTTTTCAGGATCTTATCTAGCAGCACAGCGTCAGATAATGTAAAGAAAATCACAAATTCTAGTATAAGCATTATATAATTACCAATAAACGTTAAAAGTGGAAGGGCATACACTAGACTGTTTAAGGTATGTCACTCGTCAGCCTTTTAAAAAATTTCAGTCAGAACCTCTTACTTAAAAACTATTTATTACAATTCAATCTTTATAACATATTTAAATTAAACAATGTAAAATGTTCAACATTCAATTAAAAAACTGCTCAAAAATTCACAAAGAAGCAAGATTTATAAGGGACTATTTCTTGTGGCGGAAGGATATTTAGCAGAAAATTCTGCAAATCTACACATTTATTAAATTTAATATCTTGGAACTTTAGCCTCACATACTTTTACTCAGAGAATATTTTCCGTTATGATATGCCTGGAATATTAAATATAGGTCTCAATTTATATTTTTATAACAAATTTACACCTTCGCTCAACAAACATTGCCAAGAAATGAAGATATATTGAGGAAGTCGAGATAAAATTTACACAGTTTTTTTGCCTGAAAATCGCATATTTTGACCAATATTTCAAAATTTACATCACTGACCCCAACTTTTTCTTTCGTTATTTTAAACTACTCGATACTTTTGACCGATCAGCACTTAAGTCGTAAAAAGTTTGATACAAGAAAGTATTCTATTGCCTATTTAGATTTTCAATACCCCAAATATGATACTTTTTAGTGCAAAAAGGTCACACAATAATTTATGCGCATTAATTTGCATGATTTGTTCAATGATAAATATTATTCATACTATTTTACGTAAAATAAGATTATGTTTATTGCCATGGTTACATCTTATAAAATATGATAACGGTTAAAGTGATTAACCAAAGAGTTACAATTTAAGTGCAAAAAGGTCAACTTAATTGTACCGTAGCTCAGTTAGATGCACACTGACCCCCCACTTTCTCTGCGATTTTGAGTCATACTATATGAGTACTTATCCAAAATATACTTCTCAAAAAATCCTTGATATAACAAATTTCACGAGTGACATACCTTAAGACTGTTCAAGCTGAAATGCGGAACATTAATTGCTTATATCATGTAAATCCAAAAAGTGTTGGGAGTTCATTCTGGTCTGAAGAATATTTTTTAAATTCTTTATGATGTGATAGCGAAGTGGAAACTTTTTGCAATTTCACACATTCTTGGCGAAATTGCGAGGACTTCCCAAACAGCACAAACTAGTTCCCAGCATTTCTCAGGCAAGGGATGTGAATTTTAATGTGTATCAATATTTATGGCAAAAAGCAACCGGATGCCCATGCACTAGCATCATTTTCTACATTCAGCCTAATAATTCTATTTTTACACCAGTCATGTGACATGCAGCTGATTTATAAAATGTAAATTGTACTAAGTACAACATAACCTATTCATCATTGGTGACTATATTACCTTTCCTACAATTTTATAGTTACCATTTTTACAGTAATTATTAAATGTAATACATATTAAAAACATGTTAAGATAATATTTTCCGTTAATTTCCTTAACATAGCTAAGCATGACTGATTGATGTTGACCCTCCAGGATGTGGAAATGAGTAGCTACTGTGAGCCAGATGGGAATTGGTGGAAACAACTGGAAAAGGCAATTATAGATTGATGGACATGACTATGCAGACCACAGCTAGGTTAAGGACACTCATAGGAAGTACGCATTCATATATTCCATAAAAAAAGATTCAATATTAAAAAAAAAAAGAATCAGTTTAATTTTGTTGAATGGAAATTCTGCTATCTGTACAAGTCTCTTCTGAGTTTGGCCAAAGTGACATCACTGATAATATGATCTGTTTGTCACATGACAGCTAGGTTAAAATAAGAAAATATACGTACAGCTACAAAAATTGTGAAAATTTCAATGAGATATGGATACATTATTTATTTTGAAATTGACCGTTTTTGTTGAGACAAATTCTCTTGTGTGAAAAAGTGCTGGGAGAAAGTTTCTCATACTTGGAAACTATGACAAATTTAGCCATCTTTTTATAAAATAGAGAAAAAAGCAAAGTATGCCTTGAAGTTATATTAAATTGTAGAATGAAGCACACAACCAGCTCCCAGCACTTTTTACAATAGAGGAATACAAGCTACATGTGATTATAAGCTAAACATTTATAATAAAGCTGATAAAGTTGAACTTTTGGGATTAATGAGAACCAAACTCTGTCAGTTATTTAATAGTTTATTAAAGTAGAAGTATCCTTATGTCTTATTTCTTATCAAAAGACTGATGGACATTGACCCTCCGGGATGTGGAAATGAGCAGCTACAGCCAGACAGGAATTGGTGGAAACAAGTGGAAAAGACAAGACTGATGGACATTGACCCTCCAGGATGTGGAAATGAGCAGCCACAGCCAGACAGGAATTGGTGGAAACAAGTGGAAAAGACAAGACTGATGGACATTGACCCTCCAGGATGTGGAAATGAGCAGCCACAGCCAGACAGGAATTGGTGGAAACAAGTGGAAAAGACAAGACTGATGGACATTGACCCTCCAGGATGTGGAAATGAGCAGCCACAGCCAGACAGGAATTGGTGGAAACAAGTGGAAAAGACAAGACTGATGGACATTGACTCTCCAGGATGTGGAAATGAGCAGCTACAGCCAGAAAGGAATTGGTGGAAACAAGTGGAAAAGACAAGATTGATGGACATTGACCCTTCAGGATACAGCCAGACAGGAATTGGTGAAATCAAATGGAAAATATGTGACTGATAGATGTTGACTCTCCAAGATGTGGAAATGAACAGCTACAGCCAGACAGGGATTTGTGGAAACAAGTGGAAAAGACAAGACTGATGGACATTGACCCTCCAGGGTGTGGAAAAGAGTAACTACAGCCAGACAGGAATTGGTGGAAACAACTGGAAAAGAAGAGACTGATGGACACTGACCTTCCCAACAGCAAGACTTATCAAAGTAGATAACTGTCACTGATCAGGTATGTGACATAATCAATGATCGAAGATCATTTTTGGAAAAGTGCAGCAAAAGAATATTTGATTCTTGAACTATATTATTTAGATATGTTTGTTCTTTTCTTAATTTACTGATAGATGTATATTAACTTCTATTTGATAGTGTGCTTTGATGATTTGGTGACAGTAACCAGTAGGAGACTCAGATGAAGTCATGTGGATGTGCTTGACATGAATGACAAGGAACCCTCAGGTATGTGAAAGTTACCCTTGGCAAGCCATTCTCTATGACCTTTGATTTCTCACTTTTACTTTCATTGGACCTGATTATTACCTTTTTTTATTCATTAAAAACTAGGGATGGCAAACGAATGCAGAAATGCTAATAGGTTAACCGCAAGACGTTCTGACCGATTACTCGGTTAATCATATCAAAATACACATTTTTGGACATCTTTTTTCAGGTTTTCAGGTAGCTCTATTCATATACACTAGAAGACTATAAAAATATTAGAAGTTAGAAACATTCTGTTTATCTTGATCATGAATGTGCATGTACATATATTTTATTTCAATTTCATAATACAAGAAAAAAAATAAGAAAAACATGAAACTTGCATGCCTGTAAAATCGGACATTGATAATTTTCCAGAGCAGATGTCACACAAGTTCATTCTGCAGTGTCACCATAATCAAAACTATGTCTGAACTTTCACTTAATTTACAATATTTGTCTAATAATATAATTTAATAGATAGCGGGAAAAGATAAACATACGTGTACTAATTCACAGTGCTCAACAGTGATTTATTTAATATCATTAAAGAATTACAAGACATGATGTTTTTAGAAACAGTAATTAACACTTCAAAAACAGACCAATTACCCCGCGACCTCAATCCAGAGAGCAATAATTACCCACTGAATAAGCTTAAACAGATAGGTGAAAACGCTAAATTATCAACTTTTATGCAGAGGTTTCTTTTTTAGAAGTAAATTTTAAGACAATCGCGTTCAGATTTACATATATTCTATTTTTTTTACTAACCGATTACAGATTTTCTAACCGATTACCATCGTTCCGACTGAGTAATAGGTTAACCGATTACAAATTGCCATCCCTATTAAAAACAGAAACTAAAGGAGTCAGTAACCATTACCCCTTTCACTTCTTTCCTGATAAGCAATTAACACGAGACACTTGCATCTTACAGGTAAAAGAGGAGCCTTAGAGGGATGGTGTTGGTGTTGGTGAAGTTTTCTTCAACAATGTGGAAAAGAGCATTTACAACCTTATAGGAATTGGTGGGAGCAACTGAAAAATACAATGCTAATGGATGTTGACCCTCCAAGGTGTGGAAATAAGCAGCCACAACCAGACAGGACTGAATGAAAAATAAAACTGGAAGAAGCAAACTGGAATTGGTGGAAACAATTGGAAAAGACAAGACTGATAGACATTGACCCTTGAAGATATGGAAATGGGCAGCTATAGCCAGGCAAGAATTGATCAAAAAACCTAGAAAAGGCAAGACTGTTGGATGTTGACCCTTTGAAATGTGGAAATGAGCAGTTACAGCCAGACAGGAATTTGTGGAAACAACTAGAAAAGACAAGACTGATGGATGATGACCTTCCCAACAGCAAGACTTATCATAGTGGATAACTGTCACTGATCAGGTATGGGACATTATTAATAACCCAGGATCTTTTTTGACAAAGTACAGCAGAAGAACATTATGTTAGAAATATATAATATTTTTCTAAGATATGTCTGTACTTTTCTTTATTTCTGTTTATACTTATTTAGATGCTGAAGTATATTAATTAACGTCTATTTTACAGTAAACTTTGATGTTTTGGTGGCAGTACCCTGTAGGAGACTCAGATAAAGTCATGTGGATGTGCTTGACATGAATGACAAGGAGCCCTCAGGTATGAGAATAAGAACCCAAGTATGCCATTCTGTAAAACTCTGTTCTTCCTTTTTACTTTATCAGTCCTAATGGTTACCTTTGTTTCTTATTCATTCATAGGAAATAAAAGTATTGAAGAGACATATCCTTGTGATCATGTTTGGAAAAAGACAAAGAAAGATGACAATGCAGAAAGCCAGATCTGCACACACAAGCACATCCAGTTTACAATGTTATAATTTGTTATTATCCAGAACAATTTTTTTTAGATATTTGTTTTGGAAATGGGTGTCTGAGTTGTAATAGGGTATGGGGTCGCCCACTCAGACACGTGGGTTTCCTCCGGGCACTCCGGTTTCCTCCCACACTGACCCCCTTCTTTTTCTCTATGTCGAAGAGATAATTGTGTTATCTTTATTATTTTATGTAAATATCTTTTATCATCTAATCATTATTTTGCTGTAATAATGTTATTTCATGTTATCGTCTAATACATTTTAAAATTGTTTAGATGAAGTAGTTGAAGGCTAGTTGTAAGTAGACCTTGTCGATACCCTGGGGCATTACTGGTTGGAACTTCAAGGTTCCTTCGCCGCTACGGTTGCCAGGCTGGCCTGGGGAGGAGGGGTTGAAAACGCGACTAGCTGTAGGCTCCTTTGTCTTTCAAAAATCTTTCTTTTTTTTCTTATCCAACATCAAAAAAATGATGTGTAAATGTTACAGAAGAAGTGATTTTTATATATCATATTATTATTCCTGGAATGTACAACTATACTTATTACAAAGTTAGAGTGGATATAGTGACTATGAATTTATTGAGTAATTGAATATATATACAATGTGCATTACTAAGGTGACTAGATATATTGTAAATGTTAAATAGCATGTACAGATTTATTTAGCTTTTGTAGTTAGTATGTATAGTTGACACTGATCGACTTAATGAATCGAATTTATTGTTCAAATGAATATATAGGCAATATATTATTGATGTGATCGTGGATATAAAGTGATAGTAAATGTTAAATTGTGATTACCATAGTGTGAACAAATTTACTAAGCTATTGTAATAAGGTGGTTAAAGGTGACTAAGAATTTATTGTGTTATTGAATGTATATCAGCATTTATTATTGATGTGACTAGTTCTGCAAAGACAGTACATGTGAATGTTAATGGTAATTATAGTAAATGTTAAATTGTACATCAAACAATGAATTGTGACTAGTTATGTAGTGATATTACATGTAAATGTAGAAGTATATTAGTACCGGTAGTAAATGTTAAATTGTGACAGTGAATGATGAATTGTGAATAGTTATGCAGTGACAGTACATGTAAATGTTAGAAGTAAATGTTAAATTGTGACAGTGAACAATGAATTGTGACTATAAGTTATGCAGTGATAGTACATATATTAAATGTTAAAGTATATTAGTAGTAAATGTTAAATTGTGACAGTGAATGATGAATTGTGAATAGTTATGCAGTGATAGTACATGTAAATGTTAGAAGTAAATGTTATATTGTGACAGTGAACAATGAATTGTGACTAGTGTAATGTTAAATTGTCTGATCTCATTGGCCAAAGCAAAAAAAAAAAGAAACAAAAACAAAAAAACAAAAAAAACAAAAAGAAAAAAACATGAAAAAAAAGAAAGAAAAAAAGAAAAAATAAAACAAGAAGAAACCAAAAATGAAAAGCACTAAAAAGAAAGAAAAAAGAAAGATAAGCACAAAACTTTTAATGCTGCCTGCTTGAAAAAAACATTGCTTCCCAGCATTTATAGGATTTGTGTTTTTTCAAGCAGAAGGTTCCAAGCCCTTGAAAGCAGAGGAGAAGTTTTTTGTGTAATAATACATACATGTAAAACATTACTTATGATATCCCAAAAGTTAATTCCTACATTCAGTGAGGGCCTGCGTCAAGGTGGAAGTGCCCTTTAGTGTTTGTTTTTAGCTCACCTGAGCTGAAAGTTTAAGTGATCTTTTCTGATCACATTTTGTCTGTTGTCCATCTGTCTTAGCTGTCTGTCTGTCTAGCTGTCCATCTGTAAATTTTTCACATTTTGAACTTCTCAAGAACCAACAGGGCCAATTTCAACTAAACTTGCACAAAGGATCCTTGGATGAAGGAGATTCAAGTTTTTTCCAATGAAGGGCCATGCCAGGTTTTCAAGGGAAAATATTTAAGAATTAGTATAAATTTGGTAGCATTTTTTAAAAATCTTCTCAAGAACCATTGGGCAAAAAAAGTTGGAACTTGTGTGAATGCTTCATTATATAGTGTAGATTTAAATTTGTTCAAATCATGACCCCCAAGGGTAGGGTGGGGCCACAAAGGGAAATCAAAAGTTTTACATAGGAGTATATAGGGAAATAGTCACACTGATATGGAAGCATCCTCAGGTAGTATAGATTCAAATTTGTTCAAATCATGCCCCTTGCCGGGGATAGGTCGGTGCCACAATGGGGATCAAAGTTTTACAATGTACTATATAGATAAATATCTTTAAAAATCTTCTTAAGAAGAGCAATGCCATGATTAGTCTGAGTGGAAGCATCCTCAGGTAGTGTAGATTCAAGTGTGTTTAAATCATGACCCTGGGGGGAGGGGTATGGAACCCCAATGGGGGATCAAAGTTTTACATTGTATGATATCGGCAAAAATCTTTTTCTCAAGAACAGCAATGCCATGATTAGTCATACTGATGTGGAAGCATCTTCAGGTAGATTTTAATGGGCCTCAAGAGTGGATCAATGATTTATAAAGAAATATAGAGGAAAAAAATATATAGGGGATAGAGTAGAGCCACAAGGGAGGATCAATGTTTTATATAGGAATATATGGGGAATTTTTTTTTTAAATATTCTTTTCAAGAAAAGCAAAGCCATGATTAATCATATTGATATGGAAGCATCCTCAGATAGTGTAGATTCAAGTTGTTCAAATCATAACCAATCCCAGGGGGTTTGGTGGGGACACAATGGAGGGCTCAAAGTTTTACAAAAGAATTTGCTTATGAAGAAGAAAAGGGCAATATTGACTCAGGTGAGTATTGTGTCCCATGGGCCTTTTTTCCAAAATCTATGGGTCTTCAGAAATTTATTATTTATTAGAAAATTGTTATCCCCTTTATTTTCTTCTTCATTTAAAAAATAATTTCTCCCCTTTATTTTCTTCTTCATTTAAAAAATAATTTCTGGTACTGCAATTCATACTAGTATAGACTTTTCAACATAATATCACATACAAGTCTTTATCACAGATCTTGAGTCAGGAACCATCAAAATATGTGTTAAATTTGAGACAAAATTCAAGTTAACAATCCCTAAACCTGTTCTATATCATAATGTAGTGCACATGCAGTGTCGTCCATTTTTCCCACACAGAGTGCATAACAAGGTATATGTGCAACACGAAATGTACCAATGAATTTAAAAAAAAAACAGCTGAAAAATGTTGAATTTACAACGGATGAGAGGGTGCTGGCACAAAAAAGATCCCTCACTGCTAAATGGCCCTGATCATAAGTGCTGCGTATAGGTCAAAAACAGCTCTCCACCAGGTTAAATTTTTTGGAGCAGATTTCTTTTCAAGTACTCCTATGCCCTATATTAATCAGATATACATGGACAATACCCCTAGTATGTTTCATTGTATCTGTCAAGGTTTTCAGCTGAAGGATGCTAAGGTTAATGCTTTTGGAGCAGGTTAAAGTTTTTGGAGCAGGTCTCATTTCCAAGTAACTATTATATATCATAGGGTTATCCCCCTCCCCATGTTATTTTCTTTTGCCCAGTCAAAGTTCTGTTTAAGAAATTATTCTGTAGTCTTTGAGTTTGCTCTGTCTTAAATTCACCCTCTTGTGTCTAATGTCTAGGGTGAAAGGGGCAAAAATAAAACAGAGGCAAAGATTTCTGTATATACTATAAGCCATATATTGACCAAACTTGCATGGATGATTCAACCAAGGATGCACACTGCCAGGCTTGCTTCAGGTGCTGGATCTGACCTACATTTTCCAGATGAGTGACCAGGTTAAAGTTGTGGGAGCAGGTTCATACTTAAGCCCTATGTTGATCAAACCTGCATGGATGATACAACTAAGGATGCAGTTTACTGGACTTGCTTCAGATGCTGCACAGTTAATCAAAGAAATATGTAAGCATCCTTACTTTATGTTCAAATCATACCCCTCTTTTAGGTGTTGGTCACGACCGCTTATGCATTTAAACTTTTCAATACTGAACTGATATTTGCTTTAGTGCTCAGGTGAGCAATGTGGCCAGTGGGCCTTTTGTTTCAACTTGGGATCCAGTTTTAGCATTACTAAGAATAATGTGATTATACAGGTACTATCCTTGTATTGTTCATGCATATAATTATGATGATTTTTCTTTCTTCTAATCAGTGAAATTGTAATTTGGAAAACATAGACAAAACAAAGAAAGTGAAAGAAAATTTTGATTGTTAATGATGTCATACCTATTGAAATGGAAGGATGTTATGGAATTTGAAAATGTGAATATGACAAAATATATGTACTAAAACAAGCTCATTCCTATTTATATAACGATGTCTAATTTTCTTTAATTCATTGAATTTGTACATTGATAATCACTATAAATCTGATAGTTAAAACAACTGTTTAATGATAATTATTATTTACTTCAAATTGACACATGATATTACACATAACTCCCCTTTTTAATATATTTTTAAAATTAATTAAAAACATTTTCAATAGCAATTCTATTATGAAGGAGATAGTTGAACAAGGCATGCAGAATGCATATATAGTGGATCAGATATGTAAAAATCATTTTCAGTTTGTGAATTTAGTAATTTTAGAGTAAAGGTCTCATTATTGAAATTTATGAAATTATGACAACAAATCTTTCCTGAGGAAAATTTTCTCCACAAAAATTATTATCAAAAAAATAATTATTATCAAAAAAAAAATGTGGTATTCTTGGGCTAGCTTCTACCCCTATAGCAATAAAAATCCTGAATATCATTTTCCATCAAGACAAACACGCTATACAACTCCTGGGGTCCGTTTTACAGAAGAACTTACGACCAAGATCAAAAACTTAAGTTGGTTGTAAAATTTTGCAGAAATTATAATTCTGTTTGAAATTGCTAGCATGAAAATATCTTTTTAAATTCTCTTTTAAAAGATTAAAACCATATTTAAAAAAATGTAAAATAGAAAGTTATAAGCATTATCAAATTTTGGTCTTAGTTGTCGCAAGTTCTTTTGTAAAACAGGCCCCTGATGAATAGTGGCATTTTAATCATATTTGTGATATGACCCTTGACTATATGAACTGCAAGTATTTCTCAGAAAGATATGAATGTTGTGTCATCAAAGTGTATTTTTAAGGTATAGTGGGTCTTTGCTCCATGTTTTTTTAACCAAAAAAATGTAAACTAAAAAAATACACATAAATGTTTAGTTTCAGGATAAACTTTAAAACAAATGGAGTAAAGACCCACTTCTATGGAAAAATTTTATTATGAGAAATTGATCCTTTTTGCTCTCTTTTGGTGTGTATAAGCTATTCCATGGGCAAATAATTTCAATCTTTGTGAAATTTGACATAAAGTATACTTTAATGTTACATGTAGATGAAATATCAAAGAAAATTTTGTTATAATTGAGATTTAATTTTCATATTTGTTGCACCATAGGCATTTCACTTGCCTTCTTTGCCCATCCTCCTAAATATAGATGCGTATTATTACTTTGCCAGTAGGTTTAATGAAGTTCCTTCATTTCAGATCATGAACAGAAGTGGTCTTGGAAAAATTTTGTGCTAAAAATTGATCACATTGTTTTCCATGAACTTTTTTCATGGTTCTTTACACTCATTTTGAAAACACCAGTGCTTTGTTCTGAACTGAAAATTACCATTTCACAGTGCAAAATTTAGACATTTTCTCAAGAAATGGTAGTGAGAACATTAATGCACACTTAACATATTTTTGGGTGGATTTTTTAAGGCTCTGCTGAAGTGTGTAGCTCTGCAGTTGTAAAGATGATATCTAATAAAAGCATTTTTCTTCCCTACACACAAAGATAGATAGAGCAACCATGAATGCCAGACATGTACAGTAGTTTTCACAATAGAAAATGCCAAGGCCCTAAAGGCAATGAAAATTATTTTAACTTAATCAAAACAATAAGAACTTCATGCATGTCCTTTATTCATTTTATCACAGAGTAAATTGACATATCAAAATCCATATTAATAATAAGAAAATTAATTTTTATATAAATATTACCTCATGAATCCCTCTGGTTTATAAAGTATAATGTATAATTAGTAAAGGCATGTATCAGGAATTCTAGACAATATACATTCTATATGCACAACTGTCAAAAACCTGTTATCAAATTTTACATTTACCGATTCTTATTTTTAAAGCATTGATAACAGTCCATATACATTCATGTACAGGTAGTTTATTCTACAAAATCTGATACAGACTTGTATAATTCTAATATTCATTTTTAATTTTATTTTTATTTTTACAAAGATCACTATGTCATCAAGAAATAATGACATTTGTACTAGTAAATAGTATATCCTAGTTTGGTAGAAGGCACATATCTTTTCACATTAATGTCTGGAGTTGATAGACGGCTTGGTGCATCATCATCTGTCCCCCCTCCCTCTCCATCAGAGGGAAAGTAGGAACTGACAGATTCAGTATTTAAAGATTCCTGTTTAAAGTCCATTCTCCGTTCCCTGGCCAATTTTCTGGGTCTGGGAGTGGGGAATTTAGAGCTGTTTGTGAGTGCAGGGGAGGGAGATCTAGGAGTCCTGCTTGGAGACATGGGGGCAGATCTCTCCAATTTTGCATGGGATCTACGCAAAGCAGGAATGGGAGACTGCAGAGAGGATTTGGGATTTAACACGGCAAACTTTGAATTTGCTGGTTCTTTGCCATATGGACCAGGAGACTTGGACTGATCTGTGGGATTGCTTGATAAAACATCAGACACTTCCTCCCCTGAACTCATGAGACGTTGCAGCTCTGGCTCTTCAGTCGATTGGAACTGTGTACCTGTATCAAAATCATCTGTTGATCTTATACCACTGCCAGCTTTCCTCAGGTTTTCAAATGGTTTCTCATTTCTGGTTGATTCCAAAGGTGAATCCATATCTTCTTTATCATTCAAAGAATCATTCACATTTCCATCTATTGATTCTGGGAGGGATGCATTATGGTCAGCAAATCCAGGGAATAGACTCTGTGGATGTTTTTCTTCTTTAGCATTGTCACTTTCATTGAATGTGTAATCACTTTCATATTGAAACTGCACACTTGGGATTCGTACCTCGATACTCTTCTGACTGGGCATGCTTGGAGCATCACCATCTGATTCTGATCCTTCATCATCAGCATGTGGGGATGACTCACTGCGTTTAACTCTGCGTTCTGCTGACTTTGACTTCTCACTTTTTCGTATGTCCTTCTGCTTTGGAGACTTACTTCTCTTTCTCCCTGGGCTGTATTTTCGTGATTTTCTGGAGGATTTCAGTCTCCCAGTTGACCTCATTGTGGAAAGGTCACTCTGAGCTAGAGTGTCATCAGCATTGAGATTTTTCTGTGCAAGGCGTCTAACTTCTGTAAGTGTGTCAGACATATCAGCAGTAGGAAAATCTTCTTCAATGTTTGGTTTCACAACTGGCTTTTCTTTAGCAGCCTTTATTTCTGCCTCTTCTTTTTCAATATTTTTTAACCATGCTGGATTTGTCTTTGCCAGCCTCAAGCGTTGTGTATTGGTCAGTCCATAGGACAATTTAGATTTTTTCACACTTGTTTCTGGAGCTTTTCTTATCCAGCCACGTGATTTCTTCCCTGCAACATCTGTGCTTTCTTTCTTTGACAAATTACTCTTCTGCTTTTCAAGTTTGCTCTCAACTGGCTGAATGTTTTCCTCACTTGCTTGTGATCTGAATACTTTTGTCATTGATTGTGGTTTTGGTGCAGGGAATTTCTCTTTTTCTGGCTGCACTTGTTTTTCTTTGATGTCTACACTTCTTACTGGGTCCTGTCTGTGCTGTGTTGCTACCTGAACTTGTTGCACTGTTTGTTGCACAAACTGAGGATCCTGCAAGCTTGAGAGTTCTTTCAACAAGGCTGTTAGTATAGGGAAAAGTGGTCCATTTGGCATTTTGCTCGCATAATCCTTCAAAATATTCATTCCAATCTGGTCAGTTGCTGGATTTTGTATCCTAATAGGTTCAAGTCCAACATTTGCAACTTGACTAATTTTTGGGGGTGGCTTTATAGGTTCTTTATCAACTTTATCTTTCTCGCCATCTGACAAGTCCTCTAATCTGAGCTCATCAGAGTAAACGCTGGATTCATCATCATCATATAGATACTGTCTGTGGATTTTCACTTTTGGTTCATTTTCACTGTTGTAAAATAGGGCTGGTGGTTGAACAATATTGGTAAATATGACTTCATCATCATCACTCTCAATCTCTATATCTAGAGCATTTTTTTCTCTGTTTTTTCTTTTGTTATATATCCTGCTTTTTTGAGTTTGAGTTGACATGGTTTGAACTTCCTTTTTGTCCTCTGTTTTTGATGCCACTTTTGGCTCTGAAATAGCTACATATATTTCTTTGTCCATCATATCCAGGGTTTGTAACATTACATCCTGTTTTTCTGGTTCTGTCATAGACCCCATTTCATGTGTTTCAATAAGACTTTCATTTTTCTCCCTCACAGGCACTTCCTTTGGAGTTTTTATAACAGCCTCCATAGTAGGTTTCACAGTAATAATGTTGCTTTCTTGCTTGGCAATAGCAGAGTCTGGAATGTGTGGTATTAGCCCAGGTCCAAGACTAAGGAGTCTGAAACCTAGCACCATGTACCCAATGTCTTTTCCCATTAAACTGTAGATTTTGAATAATCCCTTGTCACCATGCACAGATGGAACTGTGTTTCCATTGTGCTTTATATCATCAACAATTTGATTCATCACATCGTCCAGTGGTAAGGTACTGTTTCCAATCAATTTAGGTACTTTCTCAAAGCTATCAACAACCATGACATACAATGGTGTATTACTTAAATGGATTTTTAATGTATCAGGTGAAACTTTGAACAAACAAGATTTTCCTTTCCTTATCATGAAATTGCCATGTTTATCCTTTAGCTCTGCAAATTGATCTGGAACTTTGAAGTAAGGATCCCTCGTTATTTTGTACTTGATGTTTCTGGCTAAATCCTCTTCCACATGTTCAATAAGAATGTTTGGAAAATCCAAAAGTCTGAATACCACAGATGGAAAACGACATGTTGTGTGGGGGATATACAACTTTTCCACCACAACTTCCAAGGAAAAAAGAGATTCTTTATCCATTTTATATAGCGCTACCACTGAAATTTCCACAATAAGTTCTGTTTAGCGTAATTAACGATACATTACAATTCAGCTCAACAAGATCGTACCTGCAGCCATCTTTGGATACGAATCAACATTGATCATGGTTCCTAATATGTTTGAATTTCATTGTAATAGACATATCATACTTCAAGTAATTCGTTTTCAAATCGCAATCGGGGTTTATCTACAGTACCACTCTGAGAAAACTGGCATTTCTTCAAGAGTACTAGTAATTGAATGACAGAAGTATGTTTTTTTTCCAAAGAAAAACATTAATGTCATTCCAGACTAAGAATATTTCTTTGTCTTGAAAGAAATTTGTATGTACTAACTATGTAAAGCATCTTAAAGATTTTAAATGACTCAGATTGACAAATGGCGGTCTGTATAAACCGAGAAAACTCAAACTGTTTAACTAAAAAAGGACATTGTCGTTGATTTTACCAGATCTGGTGAGCAGTTTATGTTAAACTCAATAAGTAGAATTTGTTTATAATCCAAGACCTACGTACAACTTTGATTTCTTAAAAATCTACATGATTTTGCACATTAAATTTAAGTCCTTGGAAGTTTGACAAAACAGATTTTATACCCTTTTAGTTTTAGCTTTAGCATTGAATCAACAGTAAGGAGTAATATGTTGACGGTGCGACCGTTAGGGCGAGCGCAGAAATTTAGATCGGGCTCGTCAAACCGCACGTGACATTTGCTACGTCTAGACTCTGACGTCATATGACGTGGTATGTATGTTGCATTACCAAAACGAAGTCTGAACAGTGCTATTTTTAATCAAAAACGTTTAATCTACTATCTATCTGCTATATATCCATTAAATCAAGGTGATTTTATATTTTGTTGAATTTTGTTGCTACCGCGAGAACGTGGTTTGTGGCGAGATGCAATTCGCTAAGCATTATGGGACCACAGGTAACTGCGGAAAAAAATTCACTTGGATCAATGTGCAAAGTCCGAATTTTCTCTTCGCCCAGGCGTTGCTTTAAGAGCTCGCAGTGACGAGCAGCGCTTTGCGCCGCTCGCTGCGCTCGCTATTAAATGCTGTGTATAGTAGGCTTAATCACAGAGGGATAATATTTTGCTCTGTGTAACATGATATCAAGGTTCTTCCTCTTCCCTTTGTGGAGTGTACTCAAATTGAGTGTCAATACTCTAGTAGATTTTATTTAACAATCCATTGGGTGGACTTTACTTTACCAGTCTCCAGGGGCCCATTTTACAAAAGAACTTACGACTAAGACCAAAATTTAATTCTGCCATTAACTATGTAATTTACATTATATTGAAAATGGTTTTTAATCTTTTTAAAAGGAATGTAGTAAGATATTTTTCCTATAGGAATTTTAAACAGAATAATTAATTTTGCAAAATTTTACAATCATCAAAAGTGTTTGGTCTTAGTCGTAAGTTCTTTTGTAAAACGGACCCCATATCCGCAAGATCCACATGCTCGTTGCACTACGACGTATGATTTACGTCGCTCAACTGATAAGTGTTAGTCTTGCACACTACTCGATTAGTTAGTGTTAGTCTTGCACCCACCTGAGAGATAAGGGTCAGCCCTTGCACAAGTATTGGACTGATTAGGGTTAGTCTTGCATCCGTCTGAGAGATTAGGGTTAGTCCTCACACATTATTTGACTTATTAGGGTTAGTCTAGCATCTGCCAGGGAGATTTGGGTTGGTCCTCACATACCATCCAAGAGATATGGGCTAGTGACTCATTCTTTTAGATTTAAAATTAAGAATTTCATTAGCTTCTATATTTTTTGCAAGATTTTAATTCAGCTTCAACAGCATTTTATTGGTTTGTTTACATAAAAAAATGGTTAAGTATGAAAGAAATATAACACTAAGGATGTGCCACATGTGCTTTGTTGACAATTATTTTTTGTCAATTTTTCAATGAATAAACAATATTTATTAATTTTTTTTCAGAGAACAAGGTTAAAAACTTCGTTTAAAAACTAAACTTTTAACTGTATAATTTGATTTTGTGGTCGAAAAGGCCAAAAATCTTGTACTTTTTTTTTCAATCCCTCACACGGTCTCATACATATATTGACATCGCCTATGGCGACACTATATTTTAGCGTGTTTTTCTGGGAACAGGTAAAGTAAAGTCATTCTAATCCATTTGTAGGCTTCAACTCAATTTCCTTCAATATATGCCTTAATTCAGTTATAGTTCAGTAACAGTTTAAAAAGATAGTTCAGCTACATGTATAGTACATGTATTTCAAAATATCACTATCATTTGATATGTTTGAAGGTGCAACGGTTGGGGCAAGTGCAGTTGAATGTGTATTTATCATTGTGTATACCATTAAAACCCCTTATATACATCTTTAACCTAGACCTACTACTTCAAACTGCATGATACATCTGAGAGGTTAAAGGTTGGATGCATTCAAACTAGACATTCATGATTGATGTCGTACATTCATGATTAGTTACAACAGAGTCTGAAAGATGCAACAATTTTAAGGAAGAACATTCCATCCACTATCTATTTAAGCAACTGAGTTTCTTTGTTTATTTGTGAACTTTGTTTGATTAGTGCCAAAACATATTTTGGGCAACTATTTGCAATTTATGGGGGATTGTGAGTACCAATTTTACTAGCCTAAGGAAAGAAATTTGGATGGAACATCTGAATTTTCTCTTCACTCAAGCATTGCCATAAGAGCTCACAGTACCAGGGGCACTGTGCACTGCCCACTGTGCTCACTATTACTTGAAAGAATGAGATATAATTTTCCTAACTACAAGGTCTATTTTGTTTTATTGACAGAAAAAGGGGAGAGAAGTCATTCTGAAATTAAAATGAGGGAGAAATGAGCAAAGGAAAGCAAGCCACTCTATTCCAAAGCTGGGGATCAAATGCTAAAAAGAAAACGACTCATGCATCTTCTTCATCTTCTTCAAACCAAGTGCCTGAGGTCATTAATTTGAGTGATCTTGATGATGAGGATGATGATCTACTTGCTTGTGTAAGGATTTTTATCCAGATGGAATTTTTCTAAAATAAAACACCATTCAATTGAAAATTTATAAAAATTTTGAAATGTATTTACATATTTTTGTTACTGAAATCAAACATGGCTGAATTTGTAAATTTTTATGCCCTGCCATGAAAATGGCTGGGGCATGTAGTGTTTGTCATGTCCGTCCTTCCATCCTTCTGTCTGTCATTCCGTCACGCTATGCGTTTAGCTCAGTTCAAAGCTCAGTTTCAAAGAAAAGAAACTATACAAGATATTTTCATCAAACTTCATATGCTGATAGATATTGAAGAGATCTCTTCAATTTGAGCTATGCATCTGCATCAACATTTTTTGACCTTGACCTTTCCTTTGAACTTGACCTCAATTTTCCTAAATTAGTGTTTAGCTTAGTTTTAAAGATGTCATTCAAGAGAGTGTAATCAAACTTCATATGTTGATACATACTGATGAGAGCTATTCAACTGCATCTGACCTTGACCTTTCCTTTGACCTCACTTTTCTTAAATTAGTGTCAGACTTCATATGCTGATACATACTGATGTAAGCAATTAAACTGCATCAACATTTTTGACCTTGACCTTTCATTCGACTTTGACCCCACTTTTATCAATTTGTGTTTAATTCAGTTTTAAAGAAACCATTCATAATATTTTTATCAAACTTCATATGCTAATACATATTGATGTAAGCTTTTCAACTGCATCAACATTTTTTTTACCTTGACCTTTCCTTTGATCTTTAACTTCATTATTTTAAATTAGTTGAACTTTCCTGTGACCTTGACCTCACTTTTCTTAAATTTGCATTTTGTTTAGTTTTAAAGAAACCATTTATAAATAAGATGTATTTATGTAAGCTTATGCACTTGTACATAATTTGGTGAGAATTTATCATCTATATCCAACTTTTTAGATTTCAATTTTAAAGAAAATATTCAAGATATCCTCATCAAATTTCATACACTAATACAAATTTTCATGTTGCATTACTAATATATCCTCAGCGGGGCATTCATGTCCTATGGACATATTTCTAGTTCTGTATTAAATTCTCACTTAAAAGTTGTTTTAAATACTAAAGAAGATGGGTGAACAAGGCGTGCAGAATGCCTATAGCTTCAGATATTAATAAAATCATATTCAATTTGTGAATTAAGTATTTAAAATAAAATTCTCATTATTGAAATTTATGAAATTATGTTCAAGAAAACTTTTCTGAGAAAAAAAGATCTCGGAAAAAATTATTCTTTTATTTAAAAAATAAAAAGGTATTCGTGGGATTCGAACCCCTATCAATAAAAATCCGGAGTATCATATCGTTTTGAGACTAACACGCTAACCACTATGCCACGCAGCTCCTGAAGAAGATTGGCATTTAAATCATGTTTGTGATATGACCCTTGACTTAATGGACTTCAAGTATTTCTCGGAAAGATGCGAATGCTTTGTCATAAAAGTGTACTTTTAAGGTATAGTGGGTCTTTGCTCCATGTTTTTGTAAACCAAAAAATGTATATTTTTATGCAAACTTTTAGGATCAACTTTCAAAAAAATGGAGCGAAGACCCACTCATATCGAAAAATTTTGTTTAAGTGTGAGAAAATAATCCTTTTTGTCCTCTTTAGTGTGTGTATGCTATTTCGTAGGCAAATAATATCAGTCTTTGTGAGATTTTTGTAAATTGTAGAGATTTAGCATAAAATATACTTTAATGTTAGATGAAATATCAAAGAAATTTTTTATATAATTGAGATTTTATTTTTCACTTCATGTTTGTCACACTATAGGCACTTCGCCCGCCTTGTTCACCCATCTTCTTTGAATGTTCATTTTTATAGGCATTAAATGAATCTGTTGGAGAAAGCAATAACAAACTGCAAGAAAATGGGGCACATGAACAAAATGAAGACCCCTGTAACATCTCAATGGGAGTGGACATGTTTCCCTGTACACAGGCCCAGTCACAAATGGGGCAGACAGGATTTGATAAGGTGGCAGGAAATTTGTGGATCTATCCCACAAATTACCCAGTACGAGAGTATCAGTACAATATTGTGCAACAAGCTCTATTCAAGAACACCATGGTCACCCTTCCTACAGGATTGGGAAAGACTTTTATTGCATCTGTTGTCATGTTCAACTTCTACAGGTTTGTTGTGAGACAAAATACTGTACACAGTATTTTTTTATGGGTTGCTAGGTACATGTATGACAAAACTTTGAAATTAATTTTAGTGGAATTCACCCATTGAGTATTAAAGGTGCTTGGACACAGATTTGAAGTTAATATTTTCTCAAATTTTCTGTATAATTTCATGACTTATATGTTTCCATAGCATTTCATACTAAAATATAATAAAAATCTTATTTCATCTCGAAGTTATTAAAACTTCGAATTTCTGGACGCGTTGGATTGACACATCCTTGCGCTTTCACATATTTTTATTTTATTCTTAATACTTAAGAAAAGTGGCAATTTTGTTGTGTATTAATGAAAAATATTAAAACTTATAACCCAGAACATTCAGAGTAGAAATGTTCGAAAGCAAAACCCACTCACATTATTGTAAGTCCGTGCTCAGTGGTGTTTGCAGACTTTAACAATTGAACACACCCAGTGAATCATAAACATTAACAATAACATGCTCGTGCCCTGTTTACAAAAACAGTTCACGTTTCACGGGTGTATTCAATTTGTTAAACTCTGTACACATCACAGAGCACGGACTGACAATACTGATGAGTTGGTTTTGCTTTCGAACATTTCTACTCTGAATTTTCTAGATTATAGATGTAATATTTTTCATTAATACATAACAAAATCGCTTCTTTTCTTAAATATTAAGGATAAAGTTAAAATTTGTGTAAGTGCAAAGATGTGTTAATCAAACACGTCCCGGAATTCGTAGTTCCAATAATTCCCAGATAAAATAAGTTTTTAATTATATTTTCGTGTGAAATGCTATTGCAATATATAAGTCGTGATATTATACAGAAAATTTGAGAAAATATTAAGTTCAAATCTGTGTCTAAGTACCTTTAAAATTATTGATAAGAAACTGAAACAATAAATAGGAAAATCTTATTTTGTTAAAAGTTAAAAAAAGTAACCATTTAAAAATTTTAGACATTGTTCACAATATACAAGTGTAAATATAGAATGATTAGACAAGAATTTTTTTATTGAAGGTGGTACCCACAAGGAAAGATTGTGTTTATGGCTCCAACCAAACCCCTGGTTGCACAACAAATTGAGGCTTGTTACAACATAATGGGAATTCCCCAAGAACACACAGCAGAAATGACTGGTATGGAAATACAAACCCCAAATATACAACAAGAATTATTTTCTCTCCCCAGTCCCCTCCAAAATAATAAACTTCTTATAACAATTTGTATGTGCATAAACTTTATGTCATTAAGATATTGTTATTAGCTTGAAATCTTTATAGTTAAATGAAAGAGATGATTACATTTTGGTAAACTCTGATGAAAATGAAATATTAACAATGGTATTTAGCTTACTCAAGATATAAGCTAAAGCTTGATGATTTATTAATATTTTTGTTAAGAATAGTGTTGTCAATGAGCACCTGGTTAACCAGGTAATTATCAAACAATGCAAGTATCAGTTAGTAAAACAGCCACTGGGTTACTCTGATATACATACATTTTACAAAATAATAAACTACAAATGTTTATAAATGTATTCTAACAGGTGCCCAGTTTTAATTAACGATATTTACCATCAGATTTAATCTAATAGGCTTTCAATAATAGGATTATTTTGTTTTAATTAGTTTTCACAGTTGGTATAAATTGTATAAAGGAGCAACTGATTTGCAATAATTGTTATGTGGTGTGTCTATACAATTTTGAATTTTAAGCCTCAATTATAACTAGATGCTGTCATGAGACAGTAATACCCGCACTAAGGTGTTTGCCTCTAAATGCACACTCCTTCATATTGGGCTTACCAAGGAAAAAGTCCAAATAATTCTATAATTTACACAGTACATGTATTCGTCAAATCGAGCATAAAATGCTCAGGTGACCATGTGACCCATAAACCTCTTATACGCATTTCATATACTTAATTCATTACCAGTCTGAAATAACAGAATTTAATTAATGATATAAATTAGGTTTTGATAAAGGAGGGGGGGGGGATATAAATTTTTGGCCCATAATTGAAACTTTTAAAATTTATTTTCTCAACAACAAATAATATTATTTTATTACAAAGCGTTTTTGATGAATTTATCAAAATGTGCAAACTTTTTTTTAGTATTGATTAGGCAAAAACCTCCTTGAAAAGCCTTGACACCCCCCCCCCCCCAACACACACACACAATTTGCCTGTTTTTGGAAATAGGCCTAGATTGCAACGTTATGTTAAAACATCGTTTGTTATGATAATTTAAAATTTGTTCTTGTACTGTACATGTATGTGAACACCTTTTTGAAAATTTCTACATCACATTGGGCTTGCGTCACCCTACCAGTGCTAGTACTAGTTTTACCATTATCATTTTTAGATTGCACATGCCATGTGACATGGTGCAGTGTTACATGTATATCAGTGGAAATTAATTCATTTTGTGTTTTAATTGGATTATATTTCATGAAGTTGACAAGACCTATGACAGTCGGTAAGTACAAGTTTAAGTATAGATTGGGGTAAAATAAACCGAAATGCAAATGGTTAGGTTAAAGTTTAAAAAGGATCAAAGATCATCGGCAATCTCCTATGCAGAGTTGTTGTTCGTTTCTCAGACACTGAATGTATGAGCCGATGGTAGAGAGTGGATCATCGAATGCCACAATATAGACGAATTTCACATTCTGAAGAGTTATCTCCCGTTGTCGACATTACATTCAGTTACAGGCACAGATCCGGGAATTTTTTTCCGGGGGAGGGGGGGTCCATACCTCAGTCCAAAAAAATTCCAGCCCAGAATTTCCTGAGGAGCAAAAAAAAAAAAAAAAAAAAAAAAAAAACCAAACAAACAAAATATAAACAATGATGGTAGGGTCCATGTTTTTAAAGGGGGAGGGCATCCAAAGTCATTTATTATTTGCTTCTGTAAATCAGTATATAGTCCTATTTAAATAACTCTGCAAATTCCGGGGGGGGGGGGGGGGGGGGGTCCAATCTCCCTAGCTGCTCCCTGTCCCTGAAATGACAAATGATCATGTGACTCCTAAATAGTAGAAAACTTTTCCATTTGACTATACATAATTTTGTTTCTTGTGTTATTATGTTATGTACATCTAATGGTTTAAGGTTATGAACCCCTGGAGGTCATCCCCACTCTCTTAATGAACTGGAAATGTTCATAATATGACTACATCAAATTAAATAAAAGTGCATCAATGATAAGATTACTTGACATTTCATTCATGAATTTGGGTCAACCCATGTACCCTCCTAGAATTAGGAATGAAAATCATTCAAAGAGATGGACCATTAAACTATTTGTATATATTCACATTTTTTTTTATGTCAAACCAAAGTATTAGACTAGTTTGCATACATGAACAAACAGGGGTCTGGGAAGGAGAAGGGGCAAGGGGAAGGAGTTATCTCTTTACGTCTTAATTGTTGAAAACTCCTAAAATGAATGTTAACCTCAAATCCGACTTGTACGTCTTCATTATTTTTAAGTGGTGGTGTCTCCATATGAGTGAAAAATTCCCAAGAGGGACATTTAACAACAAACAAACATTAATGACTTAAAAAACACAATATACATGTACATGTTTATAAGTCAACGGATATACTTCTGATCATATCTCTAGTTCTCCCTTGAATCAGAAATGATGATATAAATATTTTAAGAATAATTAAGAGTTGAAAAGGTTGTGCATTTTAAAATTCACTAAGCTCTGTGGTTGAATTAGCTATACCAGTTTAGCTTATTTTACTACTCAAAGCACCTTGATTAACTATTTTTAATCATACTGTTTTCTGAAATGTGAAGTTTTTTCAACATGGATACAAGTCATACCTTTTCAGCTTCTGAAAACAATGCATGAAAAAAAAGACTGCTTTTCAAATACTGTAACTCTTTCCAAGTACTTGTGATCATCAGTTTTTAGCTCACTTGAGTTTTTCTGGTTTTCTGATCACATTTTGTTTGTCATCCATCTGTCCATCTGTAAACTTTTCACATTTTTGTCTTCTTCACTAGAACCGCTGGGCCAATTTCAACCAACCCTGCCACAAAGCATCTTCGGGTAAAGGGGATTCAAGTTTGTTCAAGTGAAGGGTCACACCCTCTTTCAAGGGGGGATAATCAAGAATTAGTGAAAATTTGGTGGTATCATTTTAAAAAAGTCTTATCAAGAACCACTGACTGGGCCCAAAAAGTTGAAACTTTCTTTACATAGACTTAGTGTAGCTTCAAATTTGTTAAAACTATGACCCACTGGGGTAGGGTGGGGCCACATATGGGGATCCAATGATTTACATAGAAAAATGCAGGGGATTTTTTCCATCATAAATCTTCTTCTCATGAACAGCAAGGGCATTATTTTCGTCCGTTTTCACAAAAGGGACCTAGGGGACATTAAATCTCATTTGTCTGTCAGTCTGTCTGTCAGTCTGTACGTCTGTCACAATAAATTTAACCTTGGTCATAACTTCTGAATAATAAGAGATAGGGCTTTCATATTTCACATGTACATTACCAACAAGAACTTTCTAAACACACCATGATCTTTGAACCCATGACCTTGACCTTGAAGTTTGACCTACTTTTCAAAAAATTCAACATTATTTTAAATGATCATTTTGAAAGAGAAAAGATAGGGTGTTCATATTATACATGTATATTACCTGTGACAAGACCTTTCTAAATATATCATGACTTTTGACTCTGTGACATTGACCTTGAAGTTTAACCTACTTTTCAAAAATGTTATATTTCCTTATAACTTTTGATTGAGAAGAGATAGGACTTTTATATTTGACATGTACATTACCTGTAACAAGATGTTTCCAAGCATACTATGATTTTTTTACCCCTTGACCTTGATGTTTTGCCTAATTTTCAAAAATTTTAACTTTGGTGATTACTTTTGAATGACATATGATAAGGCCTGCATATTTGAAACAATATATCATAAATAATGGCATCCCATCCACTAGGACACGGAAAGCAGGGGACCACAATTCTTTGAATTTGCTTGTTAGTCATTTTGATATGGAAACATTGTCATATAGTGTAGATTCAAGTTTTTTATGCCCTGCCATGAAAATGGCCGAGGCGTATAGTGTTTGTCATGTCCGACTTCAATAAAACGTCATATGCTGATATATACTGATGTAAGCTTTTCAACTGCATCAAAATTTTTGACCTTGACTTTTCCTTTGACCTTGACCTTACTTTTCTTAAATTAGTGTCTAGATCAGTTTTGAATAAACAATTCAAGATATATTTATCAAACTTCATATGCTGATATATACTGCTGAGAGATATCAATTGCATCAACTTTTTTGACCTTGACTTTTCCTTTGACCTTGACCTCACTTTTTTAAATTAGTGTTTATCTACGTTTTAAATAAATCATTTCTAATATTTTTATTGAACTTCTATGCTAATAGTAAATACATACTGATATAAGCTTTTCAACTGCATCAGCATTTTGACCTCAACCTTTCCTTTGACCTTGACCTCTCTTTTCTCAAATAAGTGTTAAGCTCAGTTTTAAATAAATCATTCAAGATATTTTTATCAAACCTAATATGCTGATATGTATTAGTGAGAGCTATTCAACTGCATCAAAAACTTTTCACCTTGCACTTTCCTGTGACCTTGACCTCCCTTCTCTTTAATTTGTATTTTGCTTAGTTTTAAAGAAACAATCTAAGATATTTTTATGTAAGCATGCACTTATACATAATTTGGTGAGAATTTATCATCTATATCCATTTTTTTTTTTTATAGATTTTAGTTTCAATTTTAAAGAAACTGTTCAAGATATTCTCATCAAACTTCATACACTCATACAAATTTTCATGTTGCATTAGTAATATACATTCCGCAGGGCATTTTTGTCCTATGGACATATTTCTAGTTTTCAAATCATGACCTCCGAGGATAGGGTCAGGCCACAATAAGGGATCAAAGTTTTACAGAGATTTAAAAGGAAAAAAATCTTCAAAATTCTTCTTTTTAAGAACAACAAAAGCATGATTAATATGGAAACATTCCCAAGAAGTGTAGATTCAAGTTTGTACAAATCATGACCCCATGGGTTAGGGAGGGGCCATTTTTTTCCTGCCCCTATTTGCTATCCACATGGAAATGCAAATTTTAAAACCATTTTACACATCCACAGGACAAATTCAATCATCTTCCAAATGATCATGATTTAAGGCTAGTGCATAAAATATAAGGGAAGTTCTGGGAACTAGGATGTTTAAACATGTTAAATATTTTTTTTTAAAAAATTGACCTCCGTTTGACCCCCAGGGGGAAAATAAGAATTCCGAAACCTTACTGCACATGCATAGGACACCACCAACCATCTCCCAAAAGATGATTAGGCTACTGTGTAAAATGTAAGAGTTCAGGGAACCAGGAGTTTTTGCATAAAAAACGTCATTTTTCGACCCCCATTTGACCCCCAGGGTGAAAATGAAAATTCCAAAACTTTACTGCACATCTGCATGACACCACCAACCATCTCCCAAAAGATGATTAGGCTACTGTGTAAAATGTAAGAGGAGTTGGAGTTCTGGGAACCAGGGGCTTTTTGCATAAAAAACGTCATTTTTCAACCCCCATTTGACCCCCAGGGTGAAAATGAAAATTCCAAAACCTTACTGCACATCTGCATGACACCACCAACCATCCCCCAAAAGATGATTAGGCTACTGTGTAAAATGTAAGAGGAGTTCAGAGAACCAGGGGCTTTTTGTATAAAAAACGTCATTTTTTGACCCCCATTTGACCCCCAGGGTGAAAATGAAAATTCCGAAACCTTACTGCACATCTAGAGGACACCACCAACCATCTCCCAAAAGATGATTAGGCTACTGGGTAAAATGTAAGAGGAGTTCAGGGAACCAGGGGCTTTTTGCATAAAAAATGTCATTTTTCGACCCCCATTTGACCCCCAAGGTGAAAATGAAAATTCTGAAACTTTACTGCACATCTACATGACACCACCAAACATCTCCCAAAAGATGATTAGGCTACTGTGTAAAATGTAAGAGGAGTTTGAGAAATAAGAGTGTGACAGACGGACGGACGGGCGGACGGACAGACGGACGGACGGACGGACAGACATGAGTAACAACAATATACCCGAACTTTCTTTAGAAAGTGCGGGTATAATTACCTAATTTGAGCCTGTGCTAGTCACCTGCACAGATTATATGCTGCCCTGAAATCAAAAGCATGGAAATATTTTAAAAGAGGACACAGATTGCTGCAATTATGGAAGGGAATTCCATTAATTTAAAATTTTATTTGTTTGACAGAAAAAAGCATATCTTAACTGGGCTGCATTCATTATGTGTTGAAATTTTTTATTTAACTATTCCAGAACATTTTTTTTCAAGAAAATTTGTATTTGTACTTCATTCATATGTATTAGATTTGTGTTTTAAAAACATTGAAAAATGAAAATGGTAATGACGCATATAAAATAGGATGCTATTCAGTATATACCATGAACAAAGATGTCCAGAGATCTAATAAAAAATCATCCGAATAACCTGGTGCTCAATTGGAAAATTAAGCAAGTAACTGGTTACTATAAATCTTTTGATTTGACAACACAAGTTAGGAAGTAAAATTTGTACACAGAAATTAATTAAATATCAATAAATGCTTTGCAAAGAAAGATCATGAATTTGTTGTGAAGTATGTGTCAAATTAAACTGTGTATCCTAAGCTACGAATTTCACCATGTTTAGGAACTATGCCCCCAAAGGAAAGACGTCAGGCCTGGGAGGAGAAGCGGGTTTTTTTCCTCACTCCACAAGTTCTTACTAATGACCTGTCTCGGGGGACCTGCCCTGCCCCTCAGGTGAAATGTGTGGTTGTAGATGAAGCCCATAAGGCCCTAGGAAACCATGCTTACTGTCAGGTGTAACATTTTTTGATGAAAATTGTGAAAAGCTTGAAGTACAATTAGAAAATATACAAAATTCATAGTACTCAGTAGTATGATTTAGAAAAGATTATGATCTTTGTAAATTTACAAAAACCACTGTTTTAATACATGAATATGTAATTCAATAGTTTTATCTGAATTTAAGGTTGTTCGAGAATTGATGAACTATTCAAATGAATTTCGTGTGTTGGCATTGAGTGCAACTCCGGGATCTGATATAAAGGTATGAATCTTCTCAGCAAAAGCATATAAAGCCATTAAAAAATTCCTTGTTCATTTTCAGTTGATGTGAATGGAGGTATACATTCGTTTACTATTTTATATTTTATCCCCCCCCCCCCCCCCCAATCAGAAATTCAGGAGATATAGTTTCTGGACTGTCCATATGCCTGTCCAGCTATTAGTCTTTGACTTTAACATTGTCAATAACTTTTGAATGGTTAGTGTTAAGGTTTGTGACAAAACCTTTCTTTGGTACCAACATTTTGACTTCCTGACCTTGACCTTGGAGTTTGTCCTATTTTTGAAAAAATTGAACCAGTTTAACCTTATTCCAAACTTCTGAATGGCTGGTGCTAGGGCTTTCCTAATTCATATGTATATATCCCTTGTGATAAGACCGTCCTTTTGGTACCATTAGTTTTTACCTCCTGACCTTAGAGTTTGATCTACTTCGGAAAAACTTAACCTTAGTCATAAATTCTTAAGGTTGGAGCTAGGGATTTCATGTTTCACATGTGTATTTTTTGTGACAAGACCTTTCTTTGGTACCATTAATTTTAACCTCCTGACCTTGACCTTGGAGTTTGACCCTTTTTTTTTTTTAAATTTTAACATTAGCCCTAACTTCTGAACAGTTGGCTAGGGCTTTCATTTTTCACATTTGTATTCCTTGTGATAAGACCTTTCTTTGGGTCTGATTATTTTTGACTTCATGACCTTGACATTGAATTTTGACGTACTTTTGAAAAATTCTCACCTTGGTTATGAGCTGTCATATGCATAGGCATTAGTGTTTCACAAATACATCTATTTTCTTCCTCAAGTTATCACAGTGTCATTCTTTGAACCCATTCAATGAAAATAAATGTATATCCTTCAAAATGGCCCTTTTCACTATTCAGTTTCCTAGTTAAGAGCTTTTAGAAGTTAAATTTGTTTTTAAAAATCGCAAATGAATTCCATAGTTTGGTGATGAAATTCACTGCATGACTTTCATCATTGCTGTTTTCATTAATGTTTAAAAAATTCTTTGTCTCATTCTTTCATCATAATAACAGTGCTTAGTTACATTGTTGAATGTTATGTGACTTTCTGTAGTTTGATTTTGAAATGACCCAGGCTTTGTTTTGTAGGCAGTACAGCAGGTGCTTTCTAACTTGCTCATCTCACACATTGAACTGAGGACAGAGGAGTCCCCAGACATCAAGCAGTACTCTTTTGAGCGACAGGTGGACAAAATCATTGTACCATTTAGCAAAGAACTGACTGATGTCAAGAATAGATATATCAAGGTGATTTATTGTTTTATGAATTATAAAACATGACTGGTAGAATTCAAAATATACTTTGCATATTAGGAGAAATTGCCTACATTGAAGGCCTCTCTCTTTACCCGGTTAATTCTTGGCTGATGAGTAGGAATGAGCAAGATACAGGATGAAATGTAAAGAAGCTTTAGCCCAATGATTAAAACAAAGTACGTGTAGTACTATTTAGATTTAAGACTATTTTATAAGATTTTCAAGAATTCCTGGTACTGCAAAGATGAATATGTATACTACTGAGTGTCTTTTAAAAGTACACCTACATGTATAAAAAAAACTTGTCATAAACTCAGTATAATAAAAAAGTAATTTTGTATACTAGAAAATACTCTTATCTAAATTTTTCATTTTCAGATAATGGAAGTGATTGTAGGAAAATTAAAAAAGTATGGTGTGATTTACAACCGAGAGGCCACCAGTCTTTCCAAGTTTATACTGCTGAAGTCAAGAGAAGCCTTTCGTCAGAACCCTCCCCACAGGCTACCTGTAAGTAATCTGTGTGTCTGTCCATCAGCTCTCTTAAAATATCAGCTCTTGAAAGTGCTTTGTTTATTCATATTAAGTAGAACACACATACGTGTATCTGCAGAACCACTGAAATAGACATTTTATTTACAGAGATCACAGTATGGTATTGTAGAGGGAGATTTCGCTTTAGCTATTTCTCTCTATCATGGATATGAATTGGTCCAGTTACATGGATTACGATCCCTGTATAATTTCTTGGATGGAACCATCAATGGGGAAAAGGGTCATGGCCGAACAAGAACAGAGTTGATGAAAATTCCTGATTTTGGTGACCTGATGAATATGCTTTGTGAAAAGTTTGGGAAAATGTAATTATTCTGATCAAAAATCTTTAGATCCTATCTTAATAAAAGTAATATACATAATTATACAATTGTATTTATAATTTGAAGTCTCCTGTCACTAAATTTTCTATTAAAAATATTGTAATGAGATACAAAGAGCATAGTGTTTATATGTATTAATTTCTCTCTGAATCTTCTAAAATGCTTTTCATATGCTTTTATACAGAATGTTTGCAAATCAAATGACAAATTTCTTTTCTGTAGGAAAGGGCGAAGAGAAAGCAAGTCATTTGTTTCAGGACATCCCAAATTAGCCAAACTGGAAGAGGTTGTTTTAAACCATTTCAAGTCCATAGAAGGTCAGTAGAAAGAAAATTATCTCCAAAGCTCAAACTAAAACGAAAATTTTTCAATTTGAAACAACTCCTGAATAAAAATATTATTTATCAGGTTTGTGATTAGAAGTTTGTTTTCAAATTGAAAATGTGATGCAGATGTGTTACAGATTTATACACTATCTCTTTTGTCTTTTAAAACCTCTAGGAGTGGAGAAATGAAATGTGAATAAAATGTAGCTACCACTCAGTCATGTTCTACTACCGGTAATACTTATTAAGGTTTGTTACTGACTGTCCATAGAAATATTATGGGTTGTTCAAGTCCATAGAAGGCGTAGCTTTGCCTTCCATAATTGAACAACCCATAATATTTCTGTGTACAGTCAGTAACAAACCTTTTAAGTGTTTTGTTTTGTCGATAACCAATAACAGTTAACCTACTGAGGTCACTTACAATGAAGTGATTGAGTTGTGCAAATTCCTTCATAACTCATTTTATTGCTTACATCACTGAAAAGGGACACTACTATAAATTTAATTGCAAGAATGCCAATTGGTAGGGACATAGTGAATTTAATGCAAAAATAGCTCTTCCATGATTTTTTTTTTTTAATTTGGATGTTATAACATCATTTTATTTGCCACATTGCCTTCCAAGTTTTCCAACTCGGCTGCCCAAAGAAATACTGAAGGCAGGCACATGACATCTGTTATCCAATGACAGAGTGTCATTCTAGTCCTAGACAAAACAAATATGGTACATGTAACACATTACTGGTACATGTACCTGTTTTTACTATGTACTATGATTCCTTCACTTACTTGTATCATATTCTCTAAACAGACAGCAGTAACGGACAGAATGAAGTGACCACAAGAATCATGATTTTCTCCCAGTACAGAGACAGTGTAGAAGAGATCACTAACATGCTTCAGCAGCATGAACCCCAGGTCAAGGCCATGAGTTTTATAGGTCAGTCATCAGCTGGTAAGGCCACGAAAGGCTTCACTCAAAAGGAACAGCTCAAGGTGAGATAACTCTTTAGAGAATTTGTTTTTAAAAGTTTTCAAAGAATAAAGTAGAACACATGAACTTTGTTGTAATATAATTATCAGTCTGACAATTTTTTTGATGACATATATGTAAATTATAATTGTGAAATTTTTTATGACAAAGGTACATTACACAAAGTAATCACATTTTTAGATAAAAAAAAATCCTGTTATAAAAATAGGTGATGAAGAAATTCCGTGAGGGTCGCTACAACACCCTAGTGGCTACCTGTGTGGGGGAGGAGGGTCTGGATATTGGGGAGGTGGATCTAATAATTTGTTACGATGCCAGTAAAAGTCCAATCAGACTGGTTCAAAGAATGGGAAGAACAGGGAGGAAACGACAGGGACGAATCGTCATGCTGGTCACTCAGGGCAAGGAAGAACAGGTATTATAAAACAGGGACGAATCGTCATGCTGGTCACTCAGGGCAAGGAAGAACAGGTATTATAAAACAGGGACGAATCGTCATGCTGGTCACTCAGGGCAAGGAAGAACAGGTATTATAAAACAGGACAGATCGGAATACATTGTTCTCCAGCAGTGATGTTTTAAAAAGGGAGGTGAAGTGCTTGAAAAGGATGTAAATAAGTAAGACTGTTCCAGAGAGTAACATGGTTTGCTCTTAATAATTGCCTGGTACAAATTTATTTTAAAATTTTTGAAATGTTCTGGCCATGTCAATCTAAAAAAAAAAATAGTGATTCACAGCAAAAGCTACTTTATCTTTTTACCATATAGCAGTGTAAATTCAAAGAGTCCTGTTATCAGCTCTTAGCCAAAAATGGTAGAAAATGGTTTACTGCTTGTAAAATAACAGTTGAATCTGAATAACTGAAATAAGAACTGCTAGTAAAATAAAAAAAAAAAGATCAAAATAAGCACTTGTAAAATAACTGCTGAGTTTAGAAAAGGGGTCTTTACAATTAGGTGATGTAGATTTTCAGTCCTTTTAGAGCTTTATGATTTTCAAACACTTTTATATGCATGACATGTATTTACACTTCAATTAATTTATTTTTCCTGATCCATTTAATACACTTATTTTTACAGATATACAATCAAGGAGTCTATTCCAAGAAGAGCATTCATAAGGCTATCCTAAACAGTGCCAAAACTCTCCAATTTTACCAGAATAATCCACGGATGATTCCAGAGGGACTGGATCCAAAGAGTCACAAAATGTTTATAACGGTGAAGCAAGCATACAAGCCAAACAAGGAGATCATACTAGACTCTCAACCACCCTCAAAACCAGCTAAAGCCAAAAGTATATTTGTGTTTTTAAGGATTTTTCCCCTGTTTAAATGAGTTTGAATTTTTATGAGATTTAATGTCTGTTATTGATGGAAAAAGTATCCATTTGAATAATATCATGTGCAGGTGGTTTAAACAATTAGAGATTATTTTTTCAAACGTTTGATCTACAGAAGCTTCTAAGCCATCCAGAGAGTCTGACAGCCTTATGACACCTGATGAGCTTGTTGAGATGAAGGAATTGATGACCCTAGCAAAGCCTATTCCCAAGTCTTCCCACTTCCTCTCTTTGGGTGATGTATGTACATGTATTTTAAAGTTAGACTGAAGTGCAAGTTTCTGAATTCATTCTGCAAATTTAAAAAAAAAGTTTTTAAAATTTGCTAGGGCTGTCATATTTCACACATGTATTTCTTGTGACAAGACCTTTGGGTACCAACATTTTTGACCTCTTGACCTTGGAGTTTGACCTTCTTTTGCAAAACCTTAACCTTGCCCATAACTTTTGAATGGTTGGTGCTAGGGCTTTCATATTCCACATGTTTATTTCTTGTGACAAGACCTTTCTTAGGGTACCACCATTTCTGAACTCTTGACCTCGGAGTGTGACTTACTTTTGCAAAACTTAAACCTTGGCCATAACTTTTAAATAGTTGGTGCTAGGGCTTTCATATTGCACTTGTGTATTCCTTGTGACAAGACCTTTTTTTGGGTTCCAACTTTTTTGACCCCCATGACCTTGGAGTTTGATCTACTTTTGAAAAAGCTGCCATATGGGGGCATCATTGTTTCACAAACACGTCTTATTGTTATTGTTGTTTATTATGCTTAATTAGACAAACATTTTGATGAAACATTTTGGACAGTTTAAAAAATTAGCTTTATCTGCAGAAACTATACACAAATTAACTTGAAGACATAGAGCAAAAATCATGTAACGGTCACTATCATAAGGTGCAGAACACGACAATATATATTCAATTCTAGAATGCTTAATTTGAAGAGTCATCTATATGTGGGGGGGGGGGGGGTTATAATTGGTAATGCTGTCAACCATATTTTATAAAGAAAGTTTATAACAAACCTTTTCCTTTCTTAAGGATACTGAAGAGAATTTGTCTATGGATACACTATCATACAACAACTGGATGCCCTGGCAGAATACCCTGCAGTCAGAGCACCAGATTAGTCATTCCAACAGAACCAAAAAATTTGTAGACATTGTCAAGTTTATTGAACTTCAAGGTAAGAACTTTTAACTCCCTTTCAAAAACAGATTAATTCAATTACAGATGCATTAAAGTCAGTTTTGAATTTGAAAGACCATATTTTGTCTTGGGTTAAATTTAAAGCAATATTTTATATAAATTCATTCTCACACATTTAAAGACATATTTTGTTCCTAAAACTTAAAGAATTTTCTTCTTCAGTTTGTCACATTATAATTGTTCTTCATTTTATGTAGATGTTTCATCTTAACTCAAAAATAATTTGCTTTAAGTATATGGAAAATTTATTACTTTAAAATATATTTATTTTTAGGCTCTGTTGATGAAAACAGCTATGAGGAAGAAATGAGGCTGTATTTAGACCCAGAGGATATTGTTAACCGCACAAAAAAGAATTCAAACATGGAGCAGCATAGCTCTTCAGAGAAAGACTCATCTGTGACCAAAAAGCATCTTAAGAAGACCCGTGTGAGACGAAGTGAACAGCTGCCTCAGTTTGATCCTATTGAGGAAGAGAGTGATGATGATCTGCCAGTGGTTTTGTTTCAAGGAGACCAGAATTCAGAAATGGAGGCTGATGGTGGGGATAATGACCAGAAAATATCAGGGAAAACTGTAGGTGAAGATAATGACCAGAAAACATCAAAGCAGAAGAGTGAGACTAACTACTCATCTGTACTGCTAAATAAAGAAATTGAGGAAGCTCAGGTCAAAAATAGAATCAGGAGGCAGTCAGAAGTCAAAGGAAGGAAGAAGTCTTCTCTTGGTGGGAGGAATTCCTTAAGTGCCAGGCCTAGAAGAAAGAGAAGCCTACCTATAGCTAGTGCAAATTCTTCTGTTGTGTCCATAATAGCAGACAATGATGAGAATGACTTTGAAGGTGTGAACAATTCAGAAAGAACCAACAAGGAGTTTAACCAGAGTGAGGCTGCTCTAGGTTCCAAGAAACCATTACAGACAATTCTGGAAACGTATAGTAAAGCAATAAATAAATTTACAGATTCTAATCCTGTCTTACAGACAGTTCCAGAAGTCATTACTATTGATGAAGATTCAGATTTTCAAAAATCTTGTGTTCATGACAATGACCTAGAATCTCAACGTAATGATGTTGATATTTCCATTGAGTCTGCAAAGGGATGTAACTCTATGAACGCACCACTGTCACCCATGTCTACTGACAGTGAGGCTTTCAGCATTCCTGAGGCACCTCCTGTGGAAGAATTGGAAGAAATGATAAACCTACTCGAGAAATCACCCAAATTTCCTGAAGATTTGCTTCCCATAGTTCAGGAATGGGAACATGAATATCTTAAAAAAGTTGTGTGTGTTGAAGAAAAACAGTCTGCATTTTATAGTGATATTAATATTGTTGACATTCCTTGTGTTCCTAATGATGACAGAAGTGAAGCTTCTCAAAATAAATTAGTGATAGAAAATAACCTTTTGAGGATAATGGATAAGGACAATTCAGTGATTACAAGTCCCATGAAAGAAAGTTCTTTTGAACAGAAACAGGTGAGAGAGAATAATTTATTGAAAATTAGTGACAATGATAATTTAACAACTGCAGAAAATATAGAGATTAGCAGCAATCTTACAGCTAAAACTCAGATTTCTGCAATGGATATAGACTATGAAGTACAGCCCACTAAAAGTGATGTTAGAGGTCATATTGAAAGTGTTGATACTAATGCAGTTTCGGATAGTGTAGGGAAAAACAAGGGTATTTCTAAAAATGAAGATATTAATTTTTCTGATGATGATAGTTTCCTGCATTCTCCACCTAATTTTGATTTGAGTTTTTCTGAAGTCTTGGTAGAACAACCAACAAATTCAAACAAAGATCAGAAATTGGGTAGTGAAGTTGGAAAAGACTCTTTGTTGGAAAGTGAAAAAACTTCTTCTGCAGGCTCAGATGACAAAATGTGCAACAAAACAGATACAGTGTTGAATACAACTAAAAGAATTATAAACCATGCTGATTTGAATTCGTATTTTGATGATTCTTTCATGGACAGTGAACTACAGGATGCAGTTCTGGTCCAAGACCAAACAGAGAATGTACCTCCTAACAAAAACTCCTCAGACCTCGAAAAGGAGCGAAGTCCTTCTCCTAATCCCTTAAGAAAACTTTCTCCAAAAGATGATGGTTTTACTTTCACTCAAGCAATGGCAGTTGTGCATGATAGTGAGGAAATGTTTCAAACATCTGACTTAAATTCAGAGAAAGTCCTTGTGGGAACTTCTGCTGCTAAAGTTAAAGAAACCTCACATTCTGTTCTACAAGAAGAAAAACAAGAAGTAGGCATTAGTCCTTTGGATAACACATCTGTTAATGGCAGCCAAGACAGAATAGCATCCAGAACAGAAAATCATATAAGTGAAACAGAGTTTACAAAACTGCAAAACAAGCCTGAAAGAACTACAACCTCTTTTAGTAGTTCTGAGGAGGAGGAGGATCTAAGTGCTTTGGCACAATTTGACCTGGGATTTGACCTGGATGATGTCATTCCACCATCTCCATGTGTAAGCCAGAGTCTCTCACAAGGTGCTTTTTCCAAATGTCGAAGTATCCTAAAGAGTAGAAAGTCATTAGCTCCGACATATCAGAGTCAGGAGTTCAAACCATCAGCAAAAAACCAAGAAGATCTGTGTTCACAAGTGATTGGAGACAAAGATCTTCCAGTAAATTTTGACTCAATCAGTGAGGAATCTGAAAAAGAGAAGTGTTCTCCAAGACAGAGTAATCTTTCTTCTGATATTCAAGAGGATTTTGAACAACCCTCTTCCCCTGTCCTGTCTGGCAGAAGATCAATAAGTCAAAATTTCTCCTCTGTATCTGAAGAGAAGATGTCTAAGTCACCATCTTTAAGTCAAGTAAACAGGAAGTTGTCACCAACTCTGGGTCAAGTGAATAAGAGGTCTGTGTCACCACATAGAGATCAACCCAACAGGAAGTCAATGTCACCAACTCCTCTACATAAAGTAAACAGGAAGTCTGTATCACCCAAAACATCACCTTCCATGCCTCAGTACATAGCAACAACAGTGGAAAATTTTTCATCTGATGAGGAAGTTGTACCTGTAAAAAGAAAAAGAAAAGCAGTAATTTTGGATTCTCCTGCTACACCACTGACACAAAAACAAGTAGTTGATGATTTTGATACCTCTTTAAAACCTCCTGAAAATGTACAGCGTGGTTTGAATCCTGTTACTGATGATGATTTTGTCACTCCTATTAAATCTAATCTTAAAAAACCTATGAACTTTGACTCTAGTTGTGAGAAGTCTATCCAGAAAAAAAGTAGACATGCTGTGTCATTTGCTCTACCTCCAGAATTTAGTGATGATGATGATGATTTTGAAGTAGACATAACAGCTTTAAAGAAATCTGTCCAAAATAATCACAGTAGAAAGGGTAAAAATCATTTGAAGAAATCTAGCAAAGAAGCAAAAGGAAGGAAATCTAAATCCCCTCTTGCAGCAGAATTTCTGGAGGTTGAAGCAGAAGTATCTGATGAAGAGGAGGGCTATTCTTGTGATGAAGAGGAGGGGAGTGATCTTGATCACTATGAAGACAGTTTTATTGGAGATGCCACTCAGCTTTCACAGAGAACATCAGATAATATGCAGGCCATTTATCTGAAGTCTGTGAAAAGTCCACCAGTGAGAGGAAGATTCAAATTGTCTAGTCGCCATTACAACATGGACGTTTATTCTCAGGCCCCTCCGGAGGAAGAGTCTCAGTATCTGGAGGACAGTTTTGTGGTGGATGAGGAGGAAGAAGAAGAGGATTCTATAATGGATGATAGCGTGGATGAAGTGACAATGTTGAATGTCTCAGAACTCTCTTGTGTTGGAAGGAGAACAAGGTGGTCCAAACCTGTGAAGAGAACTGTTACTGTCCAGCAGAAGAGTGAAGGTGGTTCTAAACGGCGAAGAATTAAAGTATTGGAGGACTCATCTAGTGAAGGTGAAAATACCAACAATTTTTCATTTGAAAATGTGGATATTTCTCATGTTAAACGGAATTCTCGTCAAGCGTTGCTGTCTTCCAGTAGTGAAGAGGAGGTGCCAGCACAGGTTACCAAAACCAACAAAGAAAATCTGACTCTCCTAAAAGAATCCAGCTATCAAGTGTCAAGTCATCGAAGTGATAACAGTTTAAGTACAAGTACCTCAAACACAACTTTGAAGACTTCTCCAACTATTGAAATGTTAAATAGCCGTAAAAATATTTCAAAGGAAGAACAACAGCGTTTAGAACGTTTGCAAAAACAAAAAGAGAAGCAAGATGAATTTAGACGAAAAATGGCCGAGAAAAAAGCGGCTGAGGCTAGAAAGAAATGTGATGGGGATCATCCCGAGAGAAGAAGCATCGTGAGTTCAACGGGGTTAATTCTGAATAGTTCTTCGATTACGACAGTTAATAAAGATAAACCTATCATTTTGGTGGATTCTCGAGAAATTAATGGATGTCAAGAAATCATATCAGAACTGAGATTTCAGCATAGTATAACCGTAAAGGCGGCACAGTTAACTAATTGTGATTATATCGTCAGTAATCGTATGGGTGTTGATAGGCAACAGTGGTCGGAATTCACCAACGGGTCTCGCAAAGACAAGCTGATAGAAAGAGTTACTGCTCTTTGTGACTTGTTCGACAAACCAGCTTTGATAATCGAGAAGGATCATGTGAAGGCGGATGAAAAAAATTCTGGCAAGCCCTTGCACTGGACTAAGTACGTTGAGAAGACTCTTGTGCACTTGTTGCGGTCAAAAGTGACGTTATATTTTACGGATCATCAGAAAGACACGGCGCGCGTGCTTTCAGAAATCTGTCGTCTGGAGGCCAGAAAAAATGCGGACATCGTGGCCCCCACTGACTTGGACGAGACCTCTCAAGCAGAGCTAAGATTCTATATGTCTATTCCTGGATTGTCTTATATTAGTGCTCTAAATCTCTGTCATAATTATAAGTCGATCCGAGGATTTATTGTTAGCGATATCACTCAAATCATGGCCAATGGCTGCTTGTCCAAAGAGCGAGCCTCTCGAATAAAGGACTACCTGCAGCGGAAATTTGATCCACAAATGCTGCCATCGGGCAGGTGACGAGAGTTTATGTATTTGTTTTTATTTATTGCAAATCAAATAAATCATCGCTTATCTCCACTACTCTTTTAATATTGAGCTTTTCTAAAGAAGATCCCGATGAAGTAGAAATGAATTACAATGTGCTATTGGTTAAGTAAGTTGATATTACACAGTATTGCTCCTACAGATTTTCAACAAGTTCCTCTTTCTGGGAGGTAAAGTTAATATTATTCATAATAAATCTGCTTAAGTACGCATGTAAAAACCATCATTATGTTTACCTATTCTACACACGCATAGGAAGCGAGGAAGTGACTACCTTTGGAACGACTTTGAATGCTCAGCTCTTATAAGACAAGTTATGGGGGTTTTGCGATTGTGGACTATCAATTTTTGTACGAACTGGATATGATCAACTTCGTTGCATATTTTTTTTACTTAGTTAATATAAAGAAAACAGAGGAAAAAAGTAGGGATGGATGAAGGAGAGATAGGGCCTGTGGAAAAGATTTTTTTTAGGAATGGAAGAGTTAAAAGAAGTAGATAATTTACAGAAATACCTATAGAAATATTCTTTTTTCATCCCCACAACTAGCACTCAATTGATATCTATTTTTTTTTCTTCTATTTTCTTAATCTTTTTTCCTGTTATAATAAAAGATTACTTGCGTCATTTATTTACCCACCATTTAATAACGTATTAACCCATGTAGGACTTGTCATGCATGGTAATTGATATTTTCGAGGAAGTGTTTTTTCTACTATCGATATTTCCTCAGAGTTTGCCGGGAGAACAGCGTCTGTTTCATAACAAAGCAATGAAATATAATATTAAGAAGTCCGTGTGCTTAAATTTTGGGAGTAGTAAGCAAATGAAAATAACATTTTTTTTTAGGGAAAAGTAATTTCTTTTGATAAAGATGTCACGTTAGAAATAGTAATTTTAAACGAAACGATTGTCTGTTGATGCTACACCAAGGGTTAACGAACAATGTCATAGTCTTCATATTACCACACACGGGGACATTGAGCCCCAAAACAACGCCACGAAGACTGGCACATTTAGAAGAGTGCAGTGTACTTTTATCGGTTGAAACGCTTTGTCAGTTTGTTTATCTGTCTTCGGTGAAATGACAGAATAAATATCGGTGCATGTCCCTTTCACCTAAACTTCTCAGGAATCTTGAAGTGTGACACTCAGAAACACCATTATCCGATGTTTGGACGGGGCGCAAGCCTTCCGTGTTTGTGTTGAAGAAGCAGCTAACTCGTGTTTCATTTTCAAGCAAATTTCCTGCATCTCCTCCCGCCACTAGGTCCCGATCGTCTGTGCGTACCGGAAACCAGGAGGCTTTGTCTGATTTATCTCCCTTTCCCGAGATAGGGAATCGACAAATTTATTGCATTTCAACCCTCGATGTATTTATTATCGCGCTACAAACCCACGCAGCAAGGAAATAAATTTGTCTCTGCCTTTGATATGACGATTGCTTCTCGTCCGTTGCTTACCAGGGTGTCACAGAAGACTCGTTCTCTGGATCCTTGGGCCGAATTACTGGACTTTATAACGTCTGGTGTTGCAGAATGGTTGTGAAAGATCTTCTCTTCTATATTTGATACTCCCTAATTCGGTTTATAAAATTAGGTATTTTGATTGAATTGTAATATTTGTTAGACACTTACAAATAATCGAACAAAGTTGGAGGGTTGCTCTTTGACCAAAAAAATCCTCCTAAGTCCTTTATATGCCTTTCGGGGGAGACGATGTCATTTATTTTGTTTTGTTTCGTCCAAGAAACTTTCCCTGTATGATCTTTGTTACCAGGCCAGAATTCGGTTTTGTATTCCTTATGAACCACTTCAAATTGCAGAATTCAAATTCACTTTAAAGTAGTATTTGACCAAAGTTAGGAGGGGGCTAGAAAGCCCATTGTCACCAGAGTATTTTAAGTGCAAACAGTATGAACTACAATAACAACTGAAGAAAATTTGAGTAATTAGACAGTTTTTGGGGGTTTTTTGTTAAAAATATGAACCAGTGATAAATATTTCTTAATCTATATTCCTATATTGGGGTTGAACCTTTATCAAAAATAAAATAAATAAATGAATTCCTATCATATCTTAGCATTTCCCATTTTTGTTGTAGAAATTGCTCTTCCACCGGTATATATAAATACGAGTACATGTATATAAAGTACCCGACAATACATAATGTATAGTCAGCATTTTTTCCAATGGTATATATGTACGTGATAAGTCGAATTTAATAATTTATGTAAAAAAAAAAGTCCTATTATCCCTTTGGTTGAATATCGGTTGGGGGATGGGAGTCCTGTCGTCAAGTCTGTGATATATTAGAGATCAAACTGCAACCGAGATATTTAGCAAACTTGAAAATATTTCAGCTTTAGTGGAAAATTTCAAGGAAAAAATGAAGTCTTTAACGAGACTAAAGTTCTTCTGTTTTGTACTTAAAACAAAGGAAGAGAAAAGTAACACTTATAGACTTTTGAAACTATGGCACCACGATAATTAAACCCTAGTTTAGTCTCGTTTTGCGACAAGTTTTATTGAAATAGGACTGAAATTTTAGGAGAAGTAGCCTTTTGAAAGAATTTCAAAGAAATTTCTTTTTTAAAGTAACTATGATAACACCGTTTGTCAAAATAAAAAAGTCAATATCCGGAATTACATGTATGTATCTTGTGAATTACGTTTTATTGAAATCGAACCAAACTGAAGGAGGAATAGCGTTTTCACAGAAATTCCCATTTTTATAACCACGGCTTTCCCGTTTGTTGAAATGAAAAAGCAATATATAGAATTTGTATCCTAATATAGTGTACTTGTGCATGTACGAAGTTTTAATGAAATTGTATCAAATTTTAGAAGGGTTCGGTGTTTTCTAAGAATTTCAAAGAAATTTCTTTTAATAACTATGGAAACATTATTCATCGAAATTAAAAAAAAAAACCCGATACATAGAACCATCGATTTTTTAATGCAGTATACTTGTGTATCAATTTTTAAGTGATACTGAAATCGGACCAAAACTAAGAGAAGCTATTTAAATAATTATTTACAGACAAATTGAGAGATGGACGGACGGCTGACCTCCTTCTATCGTATATGCTCCTCTGGTCTGTGACTCTCTTAAGAAGAACAGGTTGAAATTGGTCATCAGGAAACTATTTTGCTATTTCCATTGAGACTGATGTCTGTCTCGACCAAAAAAAAAAAAATAGTAATTCCACGAGGTTTTTAACATCGTGTGTGAGTGATTCATAAGTCTGTGATCTCAATCGAGCGGTACAATACCCATTACCAGGTCGTTATATTGATATATTAAACCAGTAATTTTTAAAATTGAAAATTGATCTCGTATTGAAAAGTCTTACCAATTTTAATTTTCTTTTATACAAACGTATATTTAATTGTTCATTTACAAGGGTAACTGCGGTTGGTTAGCGTCTTTTTACGGGGGAAGGACCGAAATTATCTATAAAATGACGATACAGTATAGCGATCGGGTGGCAAATTTTCGGGAGGTCGTAATTAAATATAGATATTTGTGCAGCAAATTGCTCTCCCCTCTCGTTGCTTCGAGCACCTGCTGTTTTTCCGTGGGTCTAGTGGAGGTCTTCTTCGCAATTCATCTCCACGTAGTACCATTTTTTAAACAAGTTTATACCAATCCCTGCCGAGTTTATATCGCTAATAAACGGCTGCATTATGCAAAAAGGGTCGAGTGCAGGGTATTGGTAAATAGGCATCCAGCACTTTTACTGGATGAGCTACCTTGGCGACTAACGAGGATGTGATGTCATTCCTAGTGTTCGTGCTGGCTTCGTTTGTCGACAACAGGAACTGTCTAATATGTTTTGATACCCCAGATTTAGTTACTATGTGGTTTTGGGGGGTAAAATGACGCATTTTTTCGTTAATTAGAAACTGTGTGGCCAAAAACGGACCCCCGTGAAATTGATTGTTAAAAAGTAGGTAAATGGAAAGTTTACAAATGGAGAAAATCATATTATAGGCTTTTTGGGTCCTTTTTTCAATTTGATAAGAAATGAATCATATTTAGGTTCTCTGAGGAACCTCAAAATACTCAGTAGATTGGGTTTAGCTGATTAGCTGTATTTTTTGTCGTTCAGAATCTGAATTCACTAAAACGAGACAAGGATTGAATTTATTTTGTAATTCAGAAAATATATGCACATTTGGGCTTTTCAATGGTTGGTCCAAGAGGGGAAGTTCGGGCTTTTTTTCAGAAACTTTTTCAATTGGATTTTTTCCGACTGGAAATTTTTCAACCTCCTTTCCCAGATAGATTCCTGGGTCTGGTCTTGCTTTTAGTTCGTAGCATTAGCTTGCAATGAGCGTGTACCTTCTTCTGCAATGTTCTTTTACATGCCTATTCTCTAGTTTTGCCCCTCTGTAAATTTTAACTCATCTGTTGGATACAACATACGAAAAATGCCACTACTGTCGAATTTTAATAAATATGATGAGGATGTTTTCATCGAAATAACTGGGTGAGAAAACAGCAATTTTTGCCTTTAGTGAACGAGAAGACCCCTCAATACAAACTAGAGGTACTGTTAGCACTGAGCTCACAATATGATACCCCAGCTCCATATGAGAATAATGACTAAGTGCATTTCTTTAGTATGTAAATGAGATTCTATGAAAGTTGCATTGGATTTCATTCAAGGATTTGACCAATTTAACTAAATGGATACCCTCTTTAAAGAGTATAATAGCAAAGTGCATGTTTTGCTGTGGGAAACCCCAAATATCTGTTCGATCGAAAAGTAAAAGGAGGTCCACATTGGTATTGTGTGTAATAAAGATTCTGTGAAAGTTCCATTAAATTTCATTTGGTGGTGTAAGAGGAGTTACGGATAAGAGATGGGTACCCCCAAGTGTACCAAGAATAACAGTGTCCATGCCTTGCTAAGTCTGTCCGATCGAAATATAAGATATGACACTATGTAATAAAGAATTTGTCAGAGATGTAAGAGGGGTGGTGGATAAAAGATGGGTGCCCCTAATAATATACCAGTGGGCAGGGTCCATTCTTTGCTGTGGGAAACTCCAAATATGTGTCCGATCAAAACGTAAAATAGGAGACGAACAATGCCAGTACGTAATAAAGATTTTGTAAAAGATTTTTCGGTGGTGTAAGAGGAGTTGCGGATAAGGGATGGCTCACCCAAGTATAATGGACGGACTTCCCCATCACTATATATACCTCCCTCCCACTTTTCAAGTGGGGGTATGATAATATTGTAGCATTCCTTGTTTTAGAATGTATGTGACATATAAACACGGGATCAAATATGGTGATTAGCTGTAAAGTCTTCTTGGTGATTCTTTTTATAATATCAAATATATCACTTACTCAACGTCAGTGAACTGATGATTTATGTAACCATGCCATTATAATCCTTATCATGCTGACTCGAAGAACACGGGGGGAGGTGGGGGGGAGGCCCCCTCACTTTTTTGTGAGTATTGTATTTTGCTGTAGTAAATTTTCCTTTAGATGCTGGCTGCCCCCCCCCCCCCCCCCCACTTTCTGATGTTGTGAGGTCGAGCACTGGTAAATTTCAGGATTTGAACAGTAAATTATCTTTATTATTTTTTGCTTGTCAGATAATTTTGGGAAGTTGCCCCCCCCCCACTTTTGAAACCGTTGTTACGGGCCTGTCGTGTTCCCTATATACATGTACATTTGTATTCTTTCAGTAACATGACTACTGTTATAATATATACAATATGTATATCCAGTATTTATTATATAAGATCATGTTTGTTCTTTCATTTAGATCCTCCTCCTTCTTCTGGGTTTTTTTTCTGTAAATCTTTGTTGCTCCTATGAGGCTTATAAAATCATGTATCTTATGATATAATACATTGACCAAAGCCTTTTTATGCGATTTTTCAAAAGTGCATCATATGCATGTATTGCTTAGTACGGAGCCTTGGTGTACTTTAATATGAAATTCAATCTTCTACATAGAACCGGTTATCTGATTTAGTACGTAGAATGCAGCCAACCACAATTTTGTTCATTGAATATTTGGTTTTACCTCAATACTTTTTTTCATTATTAAAAGAATTATGGTTGAAATGCGTGTCAGTTGTTGCTGTTAATTGTACCGATTTTCGAATTCCGGAGAACAATCATTTTACGCTTTATAATAACTTTAATTGACCCCCAAGTGTTAAAAATAAATATTTCTACACTTCAAGATCGTGTTTTTCTTTGCCTCGCTGTGGCCTCCTTCGTCGACCTAATGATTTTTATGCCCTTGAACATAACTGTATTATTAACTTTTAATTGAAAAATAACATTATTGTGTATTGTAGGCATAGTGTTTGATGACTCTTGTTAATTATGTTCCACTAAGAAAAGGTTCTTTGAGTGATTAATATATTAGCTATGTGTTAGAATGACTGAATGATTTTTAAAATTGAAAAAAATGGCTATGGACACCATGTACATCAAGGCCTTAGAAGAAAGATTTTTAATTTTGAAACGCTCAGTTCAGAGAGGTGCATTTGCAATTTGTCCTCTGTTTTAATAATTTCAAAACGTACTCCATTGTTATCAAAATGCGACCCAGTTTTTTTTTTTTAAATAGCATTTAATCCGTTTTATTGGAAGAGTAGCGAAGATCTCCTTTATGGCCTGAGAAAAAATATTTGATGATCTTTAAACATCGACTAATCATGTCTCCTGGCGATTTTTAATTTTTTATACTTATTTGGTGACACACTGTGGATATGAGATGAAAAAATAAAACAATATTTCAAGGGGACGGGGGGCATATAGATTTAGTTTCCATTAACAGATGAACACTACCCAGTAAGAATATACTGTATACAGGGTTATTTTCGCCCCGTGTTATTTTTGCCCTTAAAACTTGCAAACAATTTTACCCCGTTTTAAATTTGCACAGTCACAAATGTGCTTAAGAAATTATACTCTGTTCTTTAAAATCGCCCAGTTTTAAATTCGCCCAACTGAGAGTAGGGCGAAAGGGGCGAAAATAAAAGTTCCCTGTATACAGCATTTACCATCGCACAGCTTAATCTTTCTTTAATTATTTCTTATATTGAATTCATATAAAATGAAATTTTTATTTTTTTTGAATAATGAATAATATTTTAACTTGTTTTGAATAATAGATAATATTTTACTTATTTTTCCTACAACACTAGAAGTTATTTTCTCACCGATTAGTTACGCACCCCCCCCCCCCTTCCCCCTTAAAACTTTTAGATATTGGATTGTAGATTTTATTGCTTAACAGAAAATATATCGGAAGGACAATATGTATCTGTTTCACGTGTTTAAAAAAAATAGTTTATTTAATTTATATGACCCGGGAAGTTTGAGTATGTGCATATACACATGTAGTTGTGTTTCTGTGGAATGTTAAAGCAATGTTTATGAAATAGATACCACATATCTCCAAAACAATATTTTTAGGCTTACAATTATTATGTACTTTAAATTTCTAAAAAGACGCATTGTTAACGAACAGACTGTGTTTTCTTAAAAAAACAACTAAGTTTTAATAAAAGTTAGCTATTATATAGGGGGATTGTACAATGGAGGAGGTGGCATCATACGTTTCACACGCTGAAATCCTCCAAAGTTGACCTGAACAATTTACTGTCATCTTTGTGGACAGAATTTGATATGCTTGAACATGAAGTAACTTTTTGTTCGCTTCATATCTGTATCCTGTTAAACATGCAACATGACGTAAATGAGCTATTTTTAAGATTTAAAATTTTTTTTTTTTCATATACTATAGTCGGTATTATTTTCGAATAGAAATTTGTTTGAAAACTTTATGTTATTTTAGATATACTTCATAGCATGATTATGAAGACTTTTATTAAACATGCATGCATTGTCCACTAAATAAGATAATGTTTAGATATACAATGAGCAATGATCCCTTGAAGTGAATGTAATTTGAAACTTTTGCGTCAAACACTTTCAGATTGGCTGTTGAACGAACAAATGTACATTGAATACAGATTGAGTAATGAGGGGAAGGGGTTTAGAGATTATTTTGCACATTCACTTGCCCCCACCCCTCCTCCCCTTGACTGAGATGACTGTCCTTCACCAATTTTGTATATCGATTTTTATGTGCAGATTTTTAATCAGTGAAGAGTATAGATGGTATAAAATTTGAGAGGAAACCCCGTAGATGTATTTTAAATTTTTGATAATATTCTCTTAAAGAAGTTTTACTTCATTATATGACACACTGGCATTTCGAGGATATACTTCTTTGACCGTAAAACTGGCTTTTATTGGTGTTTGTTTGACCAGCGCCAAAAAAGATAACATTTGATATATCACCCTCCGTTAAGTGACAAAATGTGTTAATCTCACAACGACAGGTCTTATTAATAAGACGGAGAGTGACAGAGACAATATTTGTCTTTTCACGTTTATCCCGAGATAAGCCAGGGTGGAATGCTCTTAATCCACAAGATTTGTATATTTTAGATATTCGTTAGTATTCACAGGAAATTTTTGTAAGCATTAAAATGATATAACCCAGAACAATGTTTATGTATGAAGGATAATTTCTCCCTTTTCTGAGTACTCTGTATTCTATTTGAAGTTGTTTTTTCGAGCTGAAATGTTACGTGTGGACTATTCAGGAAATAATCGGGGATAATAGATGTTGGTCGGCTTAACTCTAATCCCAAAACGACACCCAAAGTTCGTAATGCTTCAAATGACAATAATTGAATCTAAGGTTAATAATATGTCGAGGAAATTAAACGATTCGACGTGAAATATTCAAATAATTACCTTAAATTACACATAGGTCCACCTCTCCGTTGAAGAAGTCATAATTAGCAGAGTTTATCTGATAACATAAAATATGTCAAATGGGACAATATACATGTATAATGAAGTGCAAATTCAATATTTTTTTGTGTGGGCATTCAAGTTATTATACAGATTTTAAATGTTATCTTTCCAATAATGTCTGGAATAATAAATTATATTATAATAATGTAATGATGAACGTGTATATCTACACGTATATAAAAAGGCGATCGTACGTTCTACTATTTTTTAAGGTTTTGTAGACAAAATAAGATGTCTGAATGCGTTTTCCTCTAGAAATTTTTGCAAAACTCTCAGTAAATGTTTTTTTTTCCTCTTCTTGTGCATGCATTTCGAAGGATAAATTCTGTTATTTCTTAAAATATACGAATGATTCAACTACAACTGCAAATAGAAAAACTAAGAATCATTCAAGAATGCAACTATCTTTACTCTACTTAGAATAGTAATTCAGAATGAAAATAAGGACTTACATGTATGGTTAAAAAAAAAAGACTCACTCTCACAATATTAGATCTACATGAAAATGAGGTTATTGTAGTCAAGTTTTTAATTATAAAAATGAATGCATTTCTGAAACGCTGAAAAGTGTTTATATATATGTGGGTAGTTAAATGTATTTATGCTATTCATGATGGGAATTGTGGGAAAGGGGGGGTGCCTTTAATTTGCATTATGGCGAAGATTTTGTAATGTATGAAATGATATAACTATTTTAAAAACGCAACCAAATGCTACAATTTTACAGGGTATAAAGACATATCGTTTTATTATTTTTGTTGGTTTCTTCTTTTTAAATCGTCTGTGTTAAAGGTAAACATCAAAGCGCGTACCGCGATCGCAGGTGAAAATGTGAATGAGAATATTAGTCAGACGCATACGTCACACGAGATCATCCAATCACAACTCGCCTGTTCGGTGATTCATAACGCGATATACATAGAGTCGACAGACAGACAGAGCAAGGTCCCCGGAGTGGATGTGTATTGACCAGATTCGGAGACTATATCAATATAAGTTTATTGAACTATTTCCAGCGCCAATGTTGACATGTGATCATGCTTCAAAGAAATCAATTTGCAGAAATTAAAAATCTGGAGACAGAAGAAAATATTTAATTATAATCAACTGGAATGAACTTGACAGTGGTATTGCCTGTAGCGATTAGTTAAATTTACTTGTGATCATGCCTCCTCAATCAATGATGGACCATACTATTAATCTCCTACCTACGCAATGTACCGAAGTTTCGCAGGCTGCACGGGTCAAATGTGTGTTACTTGGGGACGGTGCAGTGGGGAAAACAAGCCTAGTGGTCAGTTATACCACAAACGGATACCCTACCGAATACACCCCCACCGCCTTCGATAATTTCTCTGGTGAGTAATTAGTTAGGGAGAAAATAGAAATGCTAAAATGTCAACTATATGATTAATTACTTTACATATTTTGGAATCTTAAACCCCACCTAAATTAGCACAGGTTTCATTATATGCAAAAAATTTCTACGCTGGTATCAAATTAATGAAATTTGTCAAATTCTTTGGTTTCTGGTATCGCATGGAATTGGATACACAATACACACTTGCGGTTCATATTTAACGCACAGGGTGATCAGTGGCGATATTTAAGGCATGTAAAGTGATATGATATCACTAATACAGTTGTAATTTTGTTATTTCTGATGAATTCCTGCCCATATATAAAAATGTCACATATAATTTTTTCTACAAAGGCAAGTAAACCCCGGTCCTCATTTTTCTGTGTCATGAGCATGATGTGCTTTAAAAGCTCACACATTCTTGGACATAATTAGGTCAATTAGCATAACCCAATAAATTAAAAACCTTTTGACACATATATGATTGACGAGTGAAGTGAAATGTAATTAAATCTTAAAAGATAAAAATCTGTTCATTGTAACAGCATTGTTGTTTTAACAGTAGAAGAGACCAACTGTGGGAAATTTGTCACAGATTAGCAGGCAACAATTTCTTTAAACATTTCAATAAGATTCTTTGTAATGAAAAATTCAACAAGAACTGAAAAAAATGTTCCTTGTGTCAAATAATTCACTCAAATGTCAAGAAAACTAATTTTAATTAATCATGCTGATTATGAAGTATTGAGTAGGTTATGTCAGTCGATCATAGGTGCTGATTTTCTATTGAATATCAACAACCTTTATTTTAATGATTTAAACAAGAGAAGGACTGGTAACAGATTTAATTAGACAAAAAACAAAAGACAATGCCCGTAGTATTCAGTTCATCTCTAAATAAAAAATACTACATTTAACAGGTTAAACCTTGAGTCTTTATTGTGCAATCAATAATTTAATGCTAACAACCACTATACCCACCCATTTGTACAAAGAAAATCTCACATCTGCATGTTATGCTAAAGGTGTAAATACAAGATTTGGCACACATATGTACATTGCAGAGGGTTGACTCGGTTGAAAAATGTTTGAATTGCAAATGAAGATTTTCTCTTTAAAATTGGAGAAAATTTTAGTACTCAACCCTTGCACACATATAAATTGTTTATCAGCAATTAGTTTTGAAGATGAAAGCCATTTCCATCATAATTTGCCATGACAGTAGCAATTTGCCATGACTTTGAATAGGCTTTTAGAAATTAAAGAGAAAATGCCTTGATCTGTAGGATGATTAATTCAGAGGCTGAAAAAGTTTTTTTCATTCTTTTTATCAGCAGAGATTGACATCAATTGCTTATATAAATCACAGAAAAAATTTGAATATGACAAAAAAATAGATCCCTACCTTATTTTTTCATTCAATCAACAATTCTTATAAATTGGAAAGGGATTTTAATGCATTTGAATGTCAAAACCTGTTATATGAATGGGAGATTTGATGAATACTTATACTTGTAAAAGGTGTGTTAGATTTCAAAGGACGAACATGAATTAAAAGCAGACTAAATTCACACACCAGTGGTTGAATGGGCCAAATAATAAGCTGTGGATAAACCTTCCCTAAATCCCTGAACAAAAACATCTATCACAAATAAATCATCTTCTATCAGGATATATTGTACACCTTTTGCTGTTTTATTAATGAAAAAAATATTCATTTGTAAAGTTTTTTTTATCTTCTCACTTTTACTTTATATTGGTAAACCAAGAGGCTTATGGGCAATAACTTGATGAAATATGAATACCAGTACATGTGTTTTGATGATGAAGTTATCACTCTAATGATAGATCTCGTACAATTAATTATGACCATATCAGGGAAAAAGAGAGAACATTCCTACAGCATGATCAAGTGTTGTGTTTTATTACATAAGTGACCAGCATATGACCTTTTTGCATCTATTAACACATTGTGCCTCAGCTTATACCTGGTAGGTAGAAACCAGCCACAAAAAATAGTAAGTGCTGGAGTGGTGTAAGAGGGCTCACACTTTTCAGTGTTAAGTGGTTTATTAGTGGTTAATGTATTAAGTGGCTCTGATTAGCATGGCCTACCTGTAGATCTTATGCAGACTTAATCCTAGAGCCATGAATCATCCAGGGGAAAAGAGCCCCCAACACAAGAGGCCACTGTGTAATATTAACACATTATTCTGACCAATGTTCAGAAATATCCCTGTCTTTCATCATTTTGTAAGGAGAATGAATCATAAAACCTGAATGCCTTAGATCTGTCAATTTCTTCTGTTTTTTTTCTGATACCATTAAAGTTACATTTGATTTTCATACAATAAATGAAATTGCAGTACAGAAGTACGTTTTTTTTTTTAAAAAATAATATTTAGGAAAGGAACATAAAATTTATATATTATACTTATTTAAGTATATTTTGTTTGTTTTCAGTTGAGGTGAAGGTTGATCAGACCCCAGTTCATCTACAGCTGTGTGATACAGCAGGACAGGTAGGAATTATCTCCCCTTTATCAGAATGTACAGGGTTGTTATAGCCTTCTCTTTTCATTTGAATACATTCAGTTATTCTCCTCTTCTCCATGATACATTAAACAGAGAGATCTGATATAAAAAAGTTTGGAGTTTGTGATTAAAACTTTTTTTCTTTAAACAAGAAAATCAAATGTTATAATTTTTTTTATTTCTTTATTTTGTGGAGACATATGCCCTGAAGGAGGGAGAGAAAGAGATCTGTATTTAACAATTTGACATGACTTGTTTACAAACAAATCTGATAAGAAATTAACTTACACACTATTAAATGGTCACTACCATAAAGTGGATAGTGCTATCTTGGCACCTTAGTGCTAATGGTACATCTCCAACTGAAAATATGCCTACAGGGATATCATGTGAAAAATAAAGAGAAAATTCAATGAGCTGATAAAATACAATTCAGACAGCTTCTCGGCAAGATAAAAATATAATAAGAAGCCCCTAGGTAAATTACAGCAATACCATTTAAAAATGTCCAGACCTGCTATGTTTTATGCAGGAATTTGAACTCGGTGCTGGGGCCAAAGCACTAAGGCAGTATGAGAGCTGAGAAGCACTGGTACAATGTAAATATTTAATTAGACTTTTTTTTGCATAGTGCAGAAAATAACAAAAGACATGATTTGTGAGGCTGTATTTTGAAAATGTAATTACCAATTCATATTCCACTAAAGCCTTTAAATTCATTGGCCTTTAGTTGGCCCACACTTTTTTTTCTTCTTCAAATGGAGAATGATATTTTCTATTTTCTGAAAGACCCATAAAAATTGTACCATAGTAACTTGCAGGAATTTCCTTAATTTAAAAAGAAATATGAAGTTCTAAATTCCACAAGCTAGCTTTCTATTCTTCTGCATGATTGAAAAAATTGATTTGTATTAGATTAAAGTGAATTGGTCAGATGGAAATAATGATTTTGAAGCTTAAAACCAGTAAAGGAATTTGTTCAGCAGAGGACAGGTGATCGGTTCAACCTGTGACTCATTGCAAGTGCATGACCCAAAATCACCTGTTTTTCTTTGGGAACTTGTCAATGGTCTAGACATTTTAAGTCATACAACTTCCAAATTTTAATTTTGTCAGTCTGTAAAGCAGTTGAAATATAATTGTATGGGAAAAAACTTTGTCCCAGCTTTTGAATTGTTTGAGGCAAATTTAGATTGTCAGACAGAAAAGGTCATTAGTTATAATAGATTACGTAACATTTTTGTGGTAATTTTGCATTTTGGAAAATATTTAGCTTTGTATTCTTCTTCTTGTCTGTTTTGTTTATTTTTGACCTGGCATGCATGTTTTATATCTTCAAAGGTCTTGAGGGGGTATTATATATCAAATAAATTTCAACTACTTGAAGAAAAAGAAGTGGATCCTAAGATTCGAGATTCTGTATAATAAAATTTTGTTCTCATTCAGCAAAATAGGTCAATTATATCCTATAAATACCAGAGAAATCTAACTAAAAATATTTATCAAATGATAGAACACATACAGTTTGTGATTCATCTCGGGAAACATGATTGAGGGAGATATCACTGAACAGGAAACTCACCAGGCAGGTGCCGAGATTAGGAAAAGGAACACCTCTTCTGATATCACCCCAATGTTCATGATGGCTGCAGGATTATCAAAATCCCTGGCCCTAAATAATTTAATTAAACCCACAGGGAATAAAAATTTAATTTGAAACTCATTTCGATGGTTTGTTTAATGTAGGTTTCTCATCTCTAAAACATCAATCTGGTAGGGGATGCTTTTATTTGATTTTTTCACAATACAGATGCAGTGCATGGATTTTGGAACATTTTATCATGACCTCTGCAACTGGCTTGGTTGAATATTAACTCACAGTCGTACCTCTGCCAGTCTTGTTGGGTGGTTAGGTTCTGGTATTGTGCCAGTCTTAAGCACCGGACCAGTTTTAAACCAGATTAAGTACACCTCTGAAGGGCTTCCCAAGTCCGATTAAACTTTTAATAAAACCCTCTAAGTATTTGTAACAACTTTTTAAAAAACATTTTATGTTTTACCTTTTAAAGTATACTTTACATTCCATCAATATAAAAGAAATCAGAGTTAAAATTTAAATGCATATTGTTATCCGTTAGCATGTGAAGCCACATCACGTTTTGTCTGTCACATGCAGGGATGGAACTTTTGATGACACATTTACGTGAAACAGGTCATCTCATGTACAAAATGCCATTTTTGAGTTTGAATAAGTGTTTTCAGCACAGTAGCTCAGATTTACATGGAAGATATCAATGATGGCTTGTGTCACCTCAGAGTGGAAAAAGTCAAACAGTGGTTGAGATTGCCAGAGATTTTCAGTGTTATCACTGTATAAAATCTACCCTGTAATCTATATTGTTGTAGCTAGGTAAATCGGCAAACAGCCTACAGTGTTTATTTAGTTGAACAGTTGTCATGTTTTTTGGTGTTTTTTGTTTTCACTGAGCAAATATGGAAAAGACTACAATTTTTTTATTGGCTTCTTGACTTTTTTTCACTAATACAGTGGAGGGAGAGAGGTATATTAAATTAAGTTCAAACTAGCATTGTCGTAAACAGCTTTTCCTATTGAGTTTAAGAGCTTTCTGTTTAATTACACTGAGATTAAGTTGATGAGCTTCTGCAGGTTCAAACTCTGCAGATTTTTTTTTTCTTTTACTATGGTATATAATTTTTGAACCCTTGGAGACATATTGGATATATTCGGTTAAACCCACCCAGTTTGAAAGTAAGAGTACAATTGTATATAAACCCAATTGTACTTAAATGACCAACTTTAGAATACATTAAGAATTAGGTGATAATGGACCATGGTCTGTGGCTAATACACAATTGTTATGGACTGGTAGTACCAGGTTTATAAATCCCCTCTTATAACATTCTTGTTTATGGTCAGATATATTAAGTGTGTTTTGAAAAGGAGTGAGTCACTCCAACAAGTTTTAAACATCTGGGCGTGTTAATTCCCTCAATCTTTTCAAATCTTTTTCATCACCATCATGATAGGAGACTACTTTGCATCTTTCAGTGTTTATATAGCTGGTCTTTGTCAACAGTGATGGGCTGTACAAGGTCCGATTTTTCATAATGAGGGGTCTCTCTGTCTTTCTTGACCTCAGCCTTGGAGACCAGGCAACAGTGCTAGGGATGCCTCTGGCTACATCTCAGCTATAAAAGTGTTTATTTACCAGCGTACCCTACAATTACATGAAATAAAAATGTAGAACTACATAGAATTTTATCTTGTATTTGACAATTTGCTACAGCTTTATTGCTACAAAGACTGACATATCAATAATTGTTCCCGGACATCCTCTAGTTGTCTCCCTTACTCATGAATTTTGTGTAGGTCAAGAAGATTTGCATGTTTTGCTTGGTACACAAGGTTAAAAAGAGACCCATAAATTAATTGCTTTCAAATACATGTATTGAAAAATAAACCACACAAGAATTGAATTATAATACTGTAAGAAAAAAGAGGAAGTGCTTGTAGCTGGTATTAGCTCTTTTAAATTTATAGAGATAGAATGGGTCTGTTTTATTTGTTTCCTTGTTGAAGGGTCATATGTGACTTGCTATTATGCTAATAGTTTTAGTAATTAACCTCATGGTATGTGAGGAAGCAATGTGCTTCACCTGTTAAGAATTTTAATGGTGTATATTCCACATTCTTAATTCCAATCTGCCTTTCTGTTTGGTTCTTGGTTTCCAAGTTTATATGCAATTTTGTTTTTTTTTTATTTGCAGGATGAATCAGATTTCAGTATGTTACATGTAGTATGTCATAATATGAGAGAGAGATCAGCTTCTGTACTGATCATGAATATTATGACAAGGATTAAAACAGGTTGTTTAAATTTAGCATCGAAAAAAATGACCAAATTCAGTAGTGGAATGGTTTTGTTTTTGTGTTGTCAGATTTGCTTTTTTACATCTTTTTTAAATTGTGGAACCTATGTGATTCTATAAATAAGACTGACATGGACTGACACTTTTAGGGGTTTTTAAGGGTCATCTAAGGTCGGTCAATATTTGAGCTGATTGTCTTCTGCTAGGACACAATGAAGAGCAAACAGAATAATCCAGCACTTATCTCTGTGTACTTTCTCCATACAGACAGATGTATGCTAAGTGACAAATGGAACACATCTACATAACACTCAGACCTATAAAGGAAAAGCGATTTCTATCTACAAAGTCTGCACACCTGTGCTCAGGTGAAAGACTAACTCAGATAAGTTTTGACATAGGTAAAATATACAATGTAAGCTCTGTGCAAGGTCTTGATGGCTCTACAATTAGTTTTCAATTTTTGACTCTAATTTTAGAATTAGTGTAATTTTTTCAAGTTAAAAGGCTTAAAGTTGAGAGGGAACTTTGACACCAATGTTAACAACCTGCAGACATGAAAAAAGAAACAGTTGGATGGTTCGAGCCAGACTGGGGGAATAATTTGGGGTCGTTAGGTGGATGCCTGCCATGAAGTGCAGTGGATGTCACCCAATTTGTTTCATCTTTTTTTTGTAACTAAAGCTCTATTATACAGTAATTTGTACCTGCCTGTTATTGTATTCAATCACGAAAGAAATCATAAAAACTCCACATTTGATCCATCACTTCTTTAACAACAGGTTCACCTTGCTTTATATATAGATATCATTAACACATCCACATTATTTTGTATCTTAAAAAAACTGTGCATTATCCGGTTTTTGGTAAAAGTATACATACCAATACACTTAATATAGCAAAATGAGGAATGTTTCAGTGAAATGTAAGACAAACTCGTACTATCAAACAAATTCTTATAGGGTTTTTCTTTTTTAGTATATTATAATATTTATTTATGGTTATGTGACCTTTCTAATTTGATTTAATTTCTAAATAAGATGGATTAGGTATAGATTGTGCTTTATGCATGACATTAAAAAAAACATTTAGTCTGATTCTCAGATTATAGTCAAAAGTAATAGAAAAGGAAGTGGTCAGAAATTTAAATCTTGTCTTGATAATTAAGAAAAGTTTTATGATATATGCTCTCAAGTCATGAATAATTCTGATTTCCCAAGACAATCTTATAGGTGTACTGTGTTAGGAAATGAAGAAAAAAAACATTTAACAGACATGACCATTATTCATTTTTATGACAATGCAATCCATAAATAGAAAGTTCTGAACAGTAATTTCCCACTACCTACAGTCATTGCATAATACGCTGAATTGGGTTTTTAGCGGACGTAAGCAATAATGTTACATGTGTGATTTGACGATTTTTATTTTACCTTTGTGACCACATGATTCACCTATGGTTGTGTTTGCAATCAACGCAATGATGATAAATGTATGTTCAGGTTATCAAATCACTTTATTGATAACTGCGCCTTGTTTTTATGAGAATAGCAAAACATATAGGAGACATTTTTAGTTGTCATTTATAGCAACATGGACCGTAAATATGATACAATTAAATGAATATTGGGGAACACCTCGGAATATGATCAAAATGCTCCTTAAATCTCGTATTGTTTTTTAAGCGCCATGTGCAGCATGATCTGTTTCAGATGGTATACGTGTATTTCAATAGATTTAATTATTTCTTCAGATTCAGTCACTCAGAGGTGAAATTCTTAATTATAAAACAATTAAAATATCCCAGAATCAATCAACTTAAATGGCCATAGCCATCAAACATTTTTTACCTTTAAAAATTCTCTTAAATCAACAAATCGTGAGTTTGAGGAATTTTGGAAGCATTTTTGTTCTTTTAATTAGACTCTAAAAAATGAGGATAAATCTTTTTTTCAGTATTGATGAAAAATAGTATCACTTTTCATGGCTAAGCATGATGGATTTTTGATGATTATAATTGTTTGCATTAGATAATCACCTGGTTTTAAGGTGAACATAATCACTCATAGTCGGAGGTAGACTAGTGCTGTGACAATGAGTCACACTCGTACAAAGGGAAGATTGATGGCAGTGTATATCTGTTCAGATTAGACAATTACATCATGAGGGGACAACTAAATATAGTGTGCAAAGAAAAAAAAAATGATCAAAAATTGTCTGTTTTCATATTGACTCTCTTAATACTTTCAAGTGATTCCTATCTTAAAAATTAGTTGAGGGGAACTGCAGTAAAATGTTGGGTTACATAGTTGTATGATAATTTGTTCTGAAGTAATCGCCTGTTTGACTGTGATAAAAAAAAACCATAGAAATAACTCTGTGATCCGTCAGGGAAAACTCTTTCATTCATCTTTATTTCAGCTTGAGTATTCAAGGTTTAGATTAAATGTCTTATTTAAATATTCACACTGTGCCTTGAGTCTCATATTTCAATGGAAAAGTGTTTTGCCTTCTTCTAAACCTTTGACTGAAGTAGGCTCTATTTACACAAGAAAATTTGGGAGAAATAAATCGGTCAGAATAACATATTACTTCATGTATTAAGTATCGAGGTATACCTTTTTATATACTGTTTTTTTTTTTCTTTGTTACAGGATGATTTCGATTCCCTGCGCCCACTGTGTTACCCAGGGACAGATGTATTTCTCCTGTGCTTCAGTGTTGTGACTCCCACATCTTTTCACAATGTGGCAGAGAAATGGGTACCAGAAATTCGCAAACATTGTCCCAAAGCTCCTATAGTTCTAGTCGGCACACAGTGTGATCTTCGAAATGATGTGAAAGTGTTGATCGAACTCGCTCACTACAAAGAGGAGCCTGTGCCCGTTGAAGAGGCACAGAGGATGGCAGAGAACATTGGAGCAACATATATAGAATGCTCAGCTCTCACCCAGAAAAACTTGAAGGAAGTGTTTGACACCGCCCTTCTCAGTGCTCTTAAATTAACTGACCCTTTAAAAAGAAACAAATCAACTCGCCAATCCAAAAAAGGGTCAAAGAAAACAGAAACCCTAACACCAAAGAGAACAGATGGTGGTCCACAGCACAAGAAAGGAGGATGGAAGAAATTTTGCTGCTTTCTATGACCCAGGTTCCCTCCATCCAAAATCATCCAATCACAGCTCAGTTCACTGAAACTTCATCCAACCATTCATCTTTCAGATTACTTAAAGTGTCATCCAATCACTGCTCATTGTCATATACCTTGCATCCAAGTTCCAGAATCTACATCAAAGCATACATTATATTTCATGTAGTTCAAAAGCAGTTGAATGCCCTTAATAAAAATTATTGAATTGTAAAATGTTTGAATGATTGTAAATTCTGATACAATATTATTTTTTGTTTCTTTTGATAACCAATTTTTTTTTTACTAAAAAAAAAGTTGTTTCCCTAGAGATTTTAATTTGAGATTTCAAAAAAATTCTGTCTTTATACATATCAGTGTTTGATAGATTATAGATATGTCAATCATTTATCCATTTAATTTATTTTGTGAATAAGTTTTTTTTTATGCCTGAGTTGAGGGAATGAGTATTTTCAAATGCAGAGGATTAATGTCTGTGATGAAAGGATTAGAGATTATTGTGTATTCATGCATAGATTTCAATGTGCAATTTAAAGTGAACACTAGTTCCAAAGAGCTTCTCATGGGAATACTTTGTTTGCTTCCATTTTTTTTTTTTTTTTTTTTGCACTGCTTTAAGAAAAGGAATGTCACTGCAGGCCTAAAACAGAGAGAAAATCTGGGTCACCTTAGAAATCATTATTCAATCTGCTAGGTCACAAAACAATAACTTCAGTTGCTTTGGGACTTCAAACCTTCCATGTTTTTCAATAAGACGGTCATGAGAACTTGATATCCGCATTATGACAAGTTTTAGCATTTTGTAAACTAAGAAAGAAATCGTGGGAAAGGGTTTTCAGTTTTTGGTGCTTTTTTTCTGTTTTCCTTATTTTTGGAACATATTTTTTTTCATCACAAGGAAGATAAAAACAGATGACGCTTCAATGGGATAACATTGTTTGGTCACGGCCAAGCAGACAATTGGATCATAGTGGTGGATATCATTTCAAATCTAGAGTTTTTTTTTTCTACCCAGAAGTGTAAATTGCTGGATTTGAGATAGTATTGTGAAAACTTCCCACTCCCATGATTCAAGATAATGACTGATTTTTTAAACTGACAGATTTTCATCAAAAAGTAGTTCAATGAACATTTTCGTACAATATGCAAAACTAAAAAAACACTTGTAAAGTAATGTCGGTTAAAAAAGATCATGGTTGCACCTTTATGAAGAATAATAAGATCATAATCAAACTAGACATCTTTGCAAGATAAAGCAATATGATATGTTATGAAATTCTTGGGTCTAACTTGATCGGTTTCATTGTAGTGGTATCTAACTTCGAGACTGTAGTTCTTCTCGTGATGAGATGTACTTTTCAGAAGAGTTTTATCTGATCTTTACTAGTCATAACCCCCTTTTTGGTATTCATATATACTGCCTTGGATAGAAATCTTATATGTGTAGGACGTTGTCAGATTTTTGACATAACTGATGAAAAAAAATGCCTTTTTTTTGAAGGGTGAAGGTGCTCAGAATTAATGTTTAATTCATTATTAATGACAACTGGAAATTACCATGGCAATTCTGTATGGAAACAAATAAACTTGTCCTGTTGTTTGTCAGACAATGAGAATTCCAAATCACTGTGTTTATGTTGCGTCAAGATACGAAAACAAGATTTATTGTATAACGTACATGTTCTTTTCTTTATCTGCATAGTCGGATGTCAGTGTTTTTTTCAGGTCACTTGATCATAATGATAGATTGGTGCTCTATCTTTGTCAACGGGAGACCAACACATGGTAGAATTTGCCAGTAGATCCCTGTTTTTATGTGCATCGTGGTTCTGTTTATGTGGTGGCAATACCTGTGGTTCTGTTTATATGTGGTCAGACACCCATCTTTAATCATGAGAATTCTCGGAGATATTGCATGTTTGATACTAATCTTTAACATTCATCAGACCAAAGCATTATTTCGTTCCCTTTTGTTATTTTCTCATATGTCTGCTTGTAGGGTTTTTCTGGTTTTAATCTCTCTCTTTTTTTTCTATGGATATTTGTCAGAGAAAAAAAAATCATACTTTTTTTTTTTTTAAATATTGCCTTTAAGGTGACATGAACACCATTTAAATTCTTCTGTATTATGAAGATCATTTCTACTGTAAAAAATTTGTCTTCAGTGTTAGATCAAGAGAAAAATTGTAGGGGAGATAAAAAAAAAAAAAGGAAAACAACCTTGAACATTATTTTTATTGTTATACTTTTTGTTGATGGCCATAAGGTCCTGTTGTTGTTATATAATAGAAAGGAAATGCTGTCTTTCATTCTCGTTTGTTGAATTTTACTCCTCAGAAACTGAACAATGTCTCTTGTTTTGCGATACATTTGTGTTTTATGGAGATAAAGAAACAATAAGGCACTATGTATTCTTTCAAAAGAAACATTTTTAGCAATAGAACAAGTTGGGAGAAAAAAATGTACAAACATTGAGTGTTTTAATAATAAAAAAATGTAATTATTCATCATTATTTGTTGCTTTTTTGTTCATAAATATCCAGCTGGTGAAGTCTTGCTATATGTTGTTAAATTACTAATGACATTTACAAGAAGATTCTGTCGTTAATACCATGTGTCAGAAATGTGAGTACATTTTGGCCAAGGAGAGAATAACAGCAGCTAAAGCAGATCGTCTGGTCTCCCGACACAATGTGTATTGTTTCTGGCAGATGTAAGACATAAGACATAAGAAATTCTCTGGCACTACACATGCACTGCAGCACTAAACATGCAGTTTCATAACGTTGACTGCAGTTGTGCATCTGAATCCTGTCCTTTATCTGTTGCGAATGAATAGATTAGTGTGTTTTATTTATATTTAATCAGAGACAGTCTCTGAAAGCAAACTTTAAGCATTTGTCTTGAATAGCAATTATTAAAGGAGTTCTGATCTGAACATTGCTACTGTTATCTAACTTATGTTAAACACATTCATATTTGATTGTGATTCCTGAACTTAAATCTTGTGGATATGAATATTTTGCAATCTAAATACTGATTACATTCTTCAGTTTCGTCCCTCAGAGGTGTAACACATTTTGCTGAATATTAAGCTCCGAGTCAAATATGTCCACAATGAGAAAGAAGACAACAAGCGATTCTAGCTTTGTAAACACACTGTCAGCCAACTTTTACACTCCATCTCAGATCAACTGCTGAAGCGAACATAAATAGAGATTGATAAGTAAAGGTCAATGGTATTACGGATATTTCTCATCAACATTGACATCGAATGGGAATCTAAAAGGTTTCCGAATACGTACTGCAATTGTTGTGGCTTCGGCTTCGATTTTTGAGATGCTGCTGTCCGGTTAACCATTAGAGCTGGCATAGATTTCAACGGTGAAAGCAAATAGAAAGCTCGATACAGTTTTATATACTGTCTATATTCTTGTACGTCTAACGATTCCGGGTAATGATGTTCATCCCATATACTTTTGAAGAAATATAATGACAATTAACTCCTTCCCAAAATATAACTCAACCACTAACCAAACTTTTTAAAATTTCATTTATTATGTTTCGTAGTCTTTTGAAATGAGTTGCACAGACCTTTCTTATTGTAGATTATAAACAATCAACATTTTAAAGCCTATTTTGTTTGTTAAAAAATCCACATAAATAGCCTTTTGGACCTTTCTCCTTTATATACATATACTGCACACACACACACACACACCCTCACACACATTAAACGTCGGATAGCAAAGTACGGGATGAAATAAAAGGTAGAGAATAGTCCAGTATTTCTACTCCTCATCTTTACTTGAACAAAACTAAACAAAAAATAATAATTGTAATGTGAGAAACAATATACCATAGTATTGTAAGCCCTCCAAGTTCAAAGATTACAGTACCAAGACCTTATATTGCAGTGGCCTATAATATACATGTACCATATAGGCAAAAATGCTGTAGCCTAGCCATCATTTTCTCAATTTGTAAAAATTAAATATGTATACGAGTACTACAGTATATCATAATTTCAAACAGTATTACAACAAACATATGTCAGTCTAGGTCACGAGTATTCCGCCTATTGTTGTTGTTTAATATACATTTTTATTGACATGTATGTAATTTGATTGCAACATATGCAATTAAGAACATGAAGAAAATGCAGATCTGAATGTTATTGATTAATAAGTTTCCTCTCGAATCACATTCGGAAAAGGAACAAAATGTACATAGAATTTTTGTCATTTTGATTAGTCCAGTTCGTAAATCAGTTCATTTGAGAGCATTTTTGTCTGGTTCAATGTATTCGTTCCAGGCATTTAAATGGGTCTGTTACCAAGAGGAGATATAGACTAACCTATATGTCAGCAAAAATAACTACCGGTATGCTGTGAGAGAATTTTTAAAGAAATGAACACGACAAAGATAAATAAGTGATCCACTTTAATACGTAATATTTCATATCGCTCCCCATCTCAAAATTTGACCATAATTGAATAATGATTACATGAACATGATAAAGTACCTAGACGAAAATTTGCAATTCAGTCAGTTTCAAGGCAAAGGAATCTTTAACGTGAATCTCACTATCCTATGCTTTTAATTACGGTCAATATACAAGACTGACGCAGGATGTCTGCATGCAACATCGATCCATGCAAATTTGGTCAATTCAGCGTCGCTTTATGTTACTTTGTATGCAATAATGCTTCTATAATATTGCACCATTCGTGCGAATTTTAGTGGCGGATTGAGAAGATTGTCTATTTCTTCCTACCTTCCATGGTACATAATATAAACATCTTGTAAATGCTGATTTCTGACTCCATCTGATCATGGTACATATACTAAGTATTAATTTTGCCTACCACTGTAGTCACTTTTTGTGCCATTGTGACACCTTCCCCATTTCCAACCTCAACAGGGAACAATTTCTTGTCCGCATCAATTTCCCAAAAACGGTCAGGTGCTTCTTAGGAAATGGTTACTAATTATACGTAAGAATGAGTTTGCTCTGAAAATTTTATGATGTGGCACGATTGTGACTTGCAAACATGAAAAAAAGACCAAAAAAAAAAAAAAAAAAATAAAATAAGACCAAAGGCTCATCAGTAAACCCACGTAAGAGATATTGCAAATTCCCTTTTCATGTTTTTTAAGCCCCTGTAATCGAAGATTCGGGGGCATATAGTTTTTGGTCTCTCCGTCCGTCTGTATGTTTGTCCGCAAAAAACTTTAACTTTGCCCATTAGTTTTGATTGGTTAGAGCCAGGGGCTTTCATATTTCACATCTATATTCCTTGTGACAAGACCTTTCATTGAGCTGTCTTTGAGGAAGGGGGGAGGGGATCAGTGTTTCACAAACACATCTTATTTTTAAGGAAAGGTGATCATTAGCTTTATTCAAATATCAAGATAGAGCTGTTTGCGAAATATCGGACTGTGAACAATTCAATTTGTCTACGGCATAGTGCGTGAGATAGTTGGATGGAAAAGTTGACTTTTTAAACTAGTTTATGGATGAAACACAAAACATGAACGATATAATGTACAAATATCCTTTTTTCCCTTTTGTTTCGGAATCTTGAGTACGTTTTTAGCTCACCTGAGCTGAAAGCTCAAGTGAGCTTTTCTGATCACCCGTTGTCCGTCGTCCGTCCGTCTGTAAACTTTTCACATTTTCGACTTCTTCTCAAGAACCACTGGGCCAATTTTAACCAAACTTGGTACAAAGCAACCTTGGGTGAAGGGGAGTTTAAATTGTAAAAATGAAGGGCCAAGTCCCCTTCAAAGGGGAGATAATCAAGAAAATACAAAAATTGGGTGGGGTCATTAAAAAATCTTCTTCTCAAGAACCACTGGGCCAGAAAAGCTGAAACTTATCTGGAAGCATCCTAAGGTAGTGTAGATTCTAAATTGTTCAAATCATGAACCCTGGGGGCAGGGCGGGGCCACAATAGGAAATCCAAGTTTTACATTGAAATATGCAGTAAAAATCTTTTAAAATCTTCTTCTCAAGAACCACTGGGCCTGAAAAGCTGAAACTTACTTGCAAGCATGCTGGGGAAGTGTAGATTCTAAATTGTTCAAATTATGACCCCCGGGGGTAGGGCGGGGCCACAATAGGGAATCCAAGTTTTACATTGAAATATATAGGAAAAATCTTTAAAAATCTTCTTCTCAAGAACCACTGGGCCTGAAAAGCTGAAACTTATCTGGAAGCATGCTGGGGTAGTGTAGATTCTAAATTGTTTAAATCGTGACCCCCAAGGGTAGGGCGGGGCCACAATAGGGAATCCAAGTTTTACATTGAAAAATATAGGAAAAATCTTTAAAAATCTTCTTCTCAAGAACCACTGGGCCTGAAAAGCTGAAACTTATCTGGAAGCATCCTGGGGTAGTGTAGATTCTAAATTATTCAGATCATGACCCCCGGGGTAGGGCGGGGCCACAATAGGGAATCCAAGTTTTACATTGAAATATATAGGAAAAATCTTTAAAAATCTTCTTCTCAAGAACCACTGGGCCAGAAAAGATGAGACTTATGTGGAAGCATCCTGGGGTAGTGTAGATTCTAAATTGTTCAAATCATGACCCCCGGGGGTAGGGCGGGGCCACAATAGGGAATCCAAGTTTTACATTGAAATATATATGAAAAATCTTTAAAAATCTTCTTCTCAAGAACCACTGGGCCAGAAAAGATGAGACTTATGTGGAAGCATGCTGGGGTAGTGTTGATTCTAAATTGTTCAAATCATGACCCCCGGGGGTAGGGCGGGGCCACAATAGGGAATCCAAGTTTTACATTGAAATATATAAGAAAAATCTTTAAAAATCTTCTTCTCAAGAACCACTGGGCCAGATAAGCTGAAACTTACTTGGAAGCATCCTGGGGTAGTGTAGATTCCAATTGTTCAAATCATGACCCCTGGGGATAGGGCGGGGCCACAATAAGTACTACCGGGGGGGGGGGAGAGAAATCAGGTGAAAAACAGCAAGGCCAAAGTTACTCAGGTGAGCGCTGTGGCCCATGGGCCTCTTGTTTTTTTTTTTTTTCCGATCACCTCTTTAAATTCAATAACGGGACTAAAGTAAAATCATCAACAGTTACACCACATAAATAATGCACTAAAGATGGTGAATATACATCTGGTTAATGATTCAAGATACCTCAAAGGCATTACAAATACTTAATCAGTGAACACACCTTAGCGATAAGAAATGTTAATAAACTTAAAAGTTAATGTTGTTGACACAATTTTTTATTTTGATCATTTGGTTAACCGAATTAAACTGTAACGGAAAAAAATCAATTTACCATACACATGAGAATTATGTGTTTGGCGAAATAGAAATACTTTCTCTATTCAATGTTTGGTCTATCTGTTGTTGCAGAGGACAAGAAGGGGGGGGGGGTGATCAATTTCTCCTCTTTAATCTAAATGTTTATGAAATCAATAACAGAAATTTTTAATAAAAATATTTACGTTTTTAGTGCATGAATTTTGGG